TTTATTTGAACTCTTATGAAATGCTAGTATAGAAAGACGATTGATAATAATTTAGTCTACCCTACTTACTCCACTCTTAAGGATCTGATTACTGGGTTCCACTAACTTCTAGTGTTTTCATAAAGAATTCAAGCTGCAAATCTAAAAGATATTTTTTGAGCTAAACCCAAAGCATGATGAAGTCATGAAATCTAGTAGGTGGCCCATCTTTATCCCAATATGCATCACAGCTAATACACTAGAAGAAGAGAGAGAACTTCAAGACCCATTTTTGTGAAAGATGTGTGAGAGACAAAAATGAAGATGGGTACAACATAGATGAACACTTCGCTAACCAAGGCTTGAAAGAGACAATGCTTGAAGGAGGACAAGGCTGAAACAATCAAACTTGGGCTACCAAGGTAGAAGGAGAGCTTCCTACTCAATCAATGAACACCCACCTCCACAAATAAGTTTTTAGGTAGTCTACGCTATAAGATAAGTGTCAGAAGACTTGGGAACACAATAGTAACATATTCCATTTATTGTTTTGGTGTGTTGACTAGAGATGTGACAATTCACTACAATAGAGTGGTAACTCACTCTACTCAAGTGGAAATGGTCCCTTTCAAGTATTATCATGGAGGCAACATTTGCACCATAAATAGAGACATTTTGCTAATTGTGTGTCCCTTCAAAAGGCTTCAATAGATTGAAATTTAGTTACTCTTACTTCTATAACACACCAATGAGTCTAGATCCACAAGAGCTTATTAGCTCCACCTAGTTCAATGGATAGTTTATTTCCTAGTAATCTGATGATCCAATTTCACGCACCCAATGAGTATATTCGTTAACCCTTATCATCACACCAAATGAGTAGTCCAATAACTAGTTCAATAGTTGTTTCACCATGCTTAGAATTTGCCCACTAATCTATTTAGCCACACTAAAATGGTATACCTAATCACATGTGTTCTTTCCCTTCTCATAGATTTCAACATGACATAGATCAAGTAAAGGCAAGAAGCATAGAATGATTATATCTCATGGATCCATGGTTAAATCTAGACACCCGATTTGTTACACCCCTTCCAAGGATCATGGGAATCTTTACCATATTTACTGATTTATTCTCATGATTGAATTCATTGAACTCATAGCATGTCAATATGAATTATTTATAAGGTTATCTTGTCTTGCACTTTGACTAAGTTGTCCTCAATATGTTGTGATAGTAGTAAAAAACATAGGATTCCTAAAACTATCAACATCTTTAATAGTCAAAAAGTGAAATCTAAAGTCTTTTTTACTTTCAATAAATCAAATAAAATTGAAACCTTCATGAAATTAAGGAAAGGCTGTGAAATTGTTGAGGACTTGATCACATACTAGATTTAAACTGAAATACAAGCCCAATAAGAATTTGAAGCTGAATTATTGTCACACAAGATAAACATGCTGCCCCCCTACTGACTAGGTGAATCAAGGTTATCTTCTAGTCAATTGTTCACTCAGTCAAGTGCATAAAACACACTGGAATCACACAATGCATGCTGTTGGTGTGCATCCATTTATCGCAAGTGTCACTCAGGAATCCGTGATGCACTTAATGTCCCTAATAAATCATTTAGCTATGCCATCATTAATATGATTTTGGCTTACTTGTGAGTACAAAATAAATATTTTTCATATTTGTTTCTCCATAGTAGAAATAGCAATCTAATGTCAAGTGTTTAATAGTTGGATAACCAAAGTATTAAATTTCTTTGTATGGAACCATGCTGACATTTAGCATTGATCACTTGTACTTGGGAGGAGTTCCTACAATTAAGAGGAAGCATTCTTAGAAGGGTTGAGTAGACCCGTAAACCATATCAAACCAAGACCAATCAATATCCACACAAAAGCCATGACTTTACATTCAGCTAGTACTAAAAAGGCTACTCCTAGTAGAAGTGTAGAATTATTCCAAGTATTTTTGTTGGAACAAAAGAATCCACCTACTCTCAATCTTAATGTTTTTTTAGTGTTTATGAAAAGTCAACAAAACTTTTCTCAAACTCAAAACCTATCCAAAATCATTTAGTGACCATCATAGAATATATTAATTCTCCCCTTCTAACTTTCCCTTCCTACCCACTAAGGCCAACACAATCATTCTACAAAATGCTTCTAATTCAACTCATCAAAGGCATGACTATGTAATTTAACAATTGAATAAAATATGTAGACTAAGGTTTAATTATTGATCCTTATTTTTAACTACTAAACCAAAACATTTCCATAAAAATTAACAATAGTAAATAAGAAATACTTTCATATTGTGCTTTTTTAAATTGACGTAACAAGTATGAACTTCACATATTCATGGCTCGAGCCTAAGTTTAGGCAAAGCATAGTATGGCTCATTGGCCCTCATAGTCAAAATAGTCCAAACATTCTAGTTTATTTCCTCCCAAATTGATCAAAAATAATGAAATGAGACATAATGATCTTGGTTAAAGTTGAAGCTTATAGTGTCTCTATTAAAGAAGCTATGGCCACTAATCATTGAAAACTTGGTGACAGCTATGATATCCATAAAGAAGATAGCTAATTGAATTTAAATGGTCTTGTAGAAATTATATGATGACTTGGATTTAAGCTACTTTGGCAAGATAAGGCCTTTAGCCTACACCATCCCAAGTTGTTGAATCCCACCTCTCATCATCATTGCAGGTCGCATTTTACCTCTAATGTGTGCTATTAATAAGCAAAATTATTTTATTATTTCAATTTCAATTTTTCAAAAAAATCTTATTGGTAGACACATCAATGGGTCAAATTCAGTTGGATGAAAAAGGATTTTAGTATTTTTATGTGAATATTTGGGTATCATTAAATGCTATGATAAATTTAGACAATAAGACTTAGTCAATAAATTCAAGAAAACAAAGATAGCAGCAGAAATAGTTATGACCAATTAAATTTCCTGAAGTGCCAACCTCCAATAACCCCTGATCTCTATGCTAAATGTATGGACCCTAACATATTCGACGAAGGTTGGCCTTTCTCTAATTTGATGTGCTTAAACGTGTCTCAACTCCTCTCTCTCTCTCTCTCCCTCTCTCTCTGTCCCCTCCTACTTTCATTGTAGTAATGGTTGCCACCTACCAGTCTTCCCACCACCGCTACAACAGAGAGGACAGCTGCAGTGACCGACGAGTCGTCCGGCCTGGCCGGGGAATCCGAGGGAGATGGCGGAGAAAAACGACGAGTCCGTATCACCACCACCGTCCAGCGTCCTCTTTCTGGCCACTGAAACCAATAGCCGTGGGCCCCACCTCCGCGCTCTTTCTCTTTGTGCGCAAGAAAGCTCACAGGTCCCTCATTAATGGTCGAATTGCCGGTCAATAAAACTGGTGGTTGAATAATCCCACATCGGAAGATATTGTATACCGATAGATCGCATGCTATAAAAACTTTTTTAAAATTTTATTCCAAAGAAATAATTTATTGTTCACGCAAGAAATAGATTTTCTTTTTTCTAGTAAAAATGGCGGCAAAGTAGATGACAGGTGGAAGCTCTCTCTGGCAGAAGTCTTGACCAGAGGAAATGCTCTGATGCAGCTGCGGTCAGAGACAAGGGGACAGGTAGGCGTAGGTGGCACGTGGGAGAGGGGGAGGGTACACAACTAGAGATTGCTCCGCCTTTCGTGGAGTAATTATAAGCGGAAATGGTGCCCGGCGGCTACGGACTTTCTCTCTCATCACCGTCCTTTTAACGGGTGCCGTTAGATCTCGGGACGCATTAACGGTTGACCTGAGTCGATGAAGTTGGTGTCAACGATCGTGGAGAAAGAGGATCAGATGTTGACCTTTTGTTTAAATACGAAGAAAGGAGTGATCCCTCGGTCGAGATGACCTCTTGGATGACTAAACACGATTGATCTACTGGAATACGGCTGTCAAGATTTTACTAAATGTGATCTCACTGGGGTGGGCCCCAACTTTGAGTCGGTCGCATAGTCTCGTTCTGACCTTGCCCGGCTGCCGGTCTGAGAACGGTAAGAATTTCTCTGAGTCAATGGTCAGCGTCATCCTAGCTTCGATACCATGAGCTGACCGTGCTTGTCCACGTTTCTCGTTTGACTTTCAACGGCCCAGATCGCTGCCCCGGGGGCCCGCCAAGGGATCGTTTGACAGCTGGCCTTCAGGAGTAAAAATATATTCAGCTGTTAAAGGGAGGAGGCTTCGCACGTGCAATTAAAAGCTCGAATTTTTCATGTATTCTCTCACACGTGCTTATGAAATTCTCGCCACTCGTTTGCTCACGCTTGGGGACAAGATTATATTTTAATAATTAAAAAAAAGATTCTCCTTGGATTATGCCCAAAATGTCGCTGGCAGCTGATGTGGCGGCCGAAACGTCGACACGTCGACGCCCGTGCTGACGTGACTATCGCCGGAAGAGAGAGACATGGAGGGAGAGAGAGAAAGAGAGAAGAAGAGAGAGGAGAGAGAAGGAGAGAGAAGGAGAGAGAAGAAGAGAGAGAGAGGGGGGTAGCTGCCCATCGTCTTGCTCGTTCGGGAGGTGTTAAACGTGAGACTGTAGAGGGGGGAAGGAGGGGGGAAGGAGGGGGTAAGGACGTGGATCGTCTTCTGGGGCTCTCTTCTCTCTCTTCGCTCTCTTCTCTCTCTCTCTCTCTCTCTCTCTCTCTCTCTCTCTCTCCTCGCCACCAGTTCATGATGAAGAGTGTAGAGAGTCTCGGTCTTGTCAGAGAAACCAGCTCCGGTCTCCGTCGGATTAATTGCCGTGGGTCTCCCTTCCCCCACCTCCCCTGCGTGATCGTACATCTTCAACCCCCCCTTCCCCACCGCTCGGATCTCTCCCAGATGATCTCCATGGTCGCCAACTGAGTGATATATCTCCTTCCCTCTCTCTGCATCTCTGCAAATCTCTGCATCTCTCTCTCTGTCTCTCCCCTCTCTCTCTCTCTCTCTCTCTCTCTCTCTCGCTCGCTCTTGCTCTCTGGGGCATGGGGGACGCCGGCGGCCAAAGGATGGAGGGCGAGGCGGGATGGAACGGGGGCCCGGAGAGGAAGAAGGTGGCGCTGATGCGGGAGTATGTAGAGAGGGAGGATCCCGCCGCCAAGGTGAGCGCTTCATCTCCCCCAACCAAACCCCTTCCTGCTCTTCGGAGAGCTACCCTCTTCTGTTTCCTCTACGCTCCCGCTGATTTCTCACCTCCTCTCTGATTTCCCTGGAAGTCGGATTCCCTTCTCCTGTTCACGATCCTCGCATCTCGCATGTGAGAGGGATTTCTCTCCGAAATCCGCCTAGATCAGAAGGGATCACGTAGGTTTCCATCCACATCCGAGAAATCTGTTCAGCGCCTAAGGATCACAAATAGCTGCTCGATCCATCCACTCCCGGGGAACCAAATATCTCCTGCTTCTACCCTCTGAACCTCTTCTAGTGCTCAGATTCTTACGGCTTCTGTGACTCCTCTCCACCTGAGCAAGGCGACGCAGAAGCCTAAACCTGTTCTTGGTCTGGTGAAACATCTCTCATCTGAGCTGATGAAATAATATACATCATTCGTTTCCGAAACTAAATCATTCCTGCAACATGATAAATCTTTCCATGTATTTATTTATTTATTTATTTCATTGCAAAGGCTCCATTTTTATTCCTGTTTGAATCTGGGTTCCCTTCTTCAGGACGTGGATGATCTGACGCTCCGTAGATTCTTGCGCGCTCGTGATCTGGACATCAGCAAGGGCTCTTCGCTGTTCCTCAAGTACCTGAAGTGGAGGAAGACGCAGGTCCCCAGAGGCTTCATCTCGGAGGCAGAGGTCCAGCATGAGCTCTCCCAGGAGAAGCTCTTCTCCCAGGGGTTCGACAAGACCGGTCACCCCATCGGCGTCATCTTCGGCGGCCGCCACGACTACTCCAAGCGAAATATCGAGGAATTCCGACGTAAGGGTTTGCAGAAACCTTTTAAATCTGCTTACATATGTTTATATTTAGAAGTTTTCCAGTGAGGGAGGGATGAATCGATCTGATCTGTTTATGGCCCCTCTGTTCATCTCAGGCGTGGTCGTCTATGGGCTTGACAAGCTATGCACGAGGTTAGTGAGAGATCTTCATCTGCCATGCGTATCATGAACGAGAATTCCTCCGTTGAAAACGGATTAAATCCGATAAAATTTTGACCTGGGTTTGAAGGAACATTTCTCGAGCATATAAACACGAGTTTTTAGTAGCTTGCCATGATGATGACGATGATCTAAGAGAGAGAGAGAGAGAGAGGGTCTGCTCGGTTTTCCTCGATCTTATGAAAGGACCTTCGATCTCATGGTTTGACTTCCTGTGATGCAGAATGCCGGTGGGGAAGGAGAAGTTTGTGTTCATCGGAGATCTCGAGGGCTGGTGCTACGCGAATTCTGATATACGGGCATATCTTGCCGCTCTGGAGATCATGCAGGTCTGGTTTTTTTTCTTTTTTCATATGAATCTCCGTAAAAAATTCCTTTTTGGGAAAAACGACGAAGAACTCCGAGCAATCTGCCCGCCAAGATCTGGTGAATGACGAAGAAATCCCCTCGTTGACGATGGCAGAATTACTACCCGGAGCGGCTCAAGAAGGTGTTCATGATCCACGTGCCGTCCATGTTCATGAAGGCGTGGAAGATTATATACCCATTTATAGACGACAACACCAAGCAGAAGGTATTGCTACTACTAACCAAGAACACCCACCACCCATTTACCAGATTTATCGATTCGGTCAACTACTTGCTGTCTGAAAGTAGACAGGGGATCAGATTGTCAGAGAACGGGGATAATATCTGAGCTTTTTTCACGTGATCGTCTTTTTAATGCAGATCGTCTTTGTGGACGACAAGAATCTGAAAGCAGCTCTGCTCGAGGACATCGAAGAGAGCCAGATTCCTGACATATACGGAGGCAAGCTCCCGCTTGTCCCTGTCCAGAACACCTGAACAGGCGGAGCGGAGCAGCCTCCTCCTTTCTTTCCATCTTTTTTCCATGACCTGAAAGCCAGAGAGATGGATGGTGTCTGAAGCCGTGTGGCCTCGTTGACTTCTCTCTCTAGGATGGATGGGTGGCGACGGATTTCGGATTCGTGGGTTGTAATTGGATCTTGCTTGTGGAATCCGATTCTGAATTGGGTAGATCCAATCATGGGTCCCCCGTATGAAATTTAACTCAACTCTCTCCCCGCTCTCTTCTTCCTCTAATAGTCTTGTCAAATTCACCGTCCTTCTCACCGTTATCTTGGCTGGAACCAGACGAACGTAGCTGCATATTAGCCGTCTGCCAGCAACTACACCGATGGGTAAAGATTTTTTAGAGACAGAGAGAGAGGTGGATGGTCAGATGATTACCAAAAGCGGAAGACATGGTGCTGTAAGGTAGGGAAAGGGGCACACGACTATGCAACGCGCAGAAATAACATACTCCAGAAAAAGGTAAAGGACCAAGTACCCACCGGGGTCTGAGCCCATAGAATTATTCAAAACCTGAGTATGACCAGAATATCACCAACCAGTAGAGAGAGAGAGAGACAGACAGAAGGTAGTCAGATTATTACCAAAAGCGGAAGATACGGCGCTGTAAGCAGGGGTAAAGGCTTTGGGCACACAGCACACAACCATAAAGAGAGAGAGAGAGAGAGAGAGAGAGAGAGAGAGAGAGAGAGAGAGAGAGAGAGGGAGTTGGATAGTGGGATTATTTCCAAAAGCGGAAGAAATGATGCTGTAAAGTAGGGAATCGGACTCAGGACTATGCAAGAAGGCACATAAATAATGTACTCCTCCAGGGCAAGGAAAATGACCAATTCCCCACCCGGGTCTGAAGCCACAGAATTATTCAAAACCTGAGAACGACCAAAATATCACCAACCAGAAGAGAAAGAGAGAGAGTCACCAGCCGATACGGGCCTTCTTTCTTCCCTTAGCGAGAAAGAGAGAGAGAAAGAGCGAGAGAGAGAGAGAGAGAGAGGAAGAGAGGGAAATTAGCCGACGAGGAGCTTGCCCTGGTCGAGGAAGCTGTATGTAGGCACCTCGAGATTGTAAGGGGCGGGTCCCTTGCGGATGCGGCCGGAGATGTCGTAGTGTGAGCCGTGGCACGGGCAGAACCAACCCCCAAAGTCCCCGGCATTGGGCAGCGGGATGCAGCCGAGATGGGTGCACACACCCACGACGATCAGCCACTCCGGGTCCTTCACACGCGCCGCATCCTCCTGCGGATCGCGCAGGCTGGCCAAGTCCACAGCATTGGCGGCGTTTATGTCTTCGGCAGTGCGACGGCGGATGAAGACGGGCTTCCCCCGCCACTTGACGGTGACAGTGTTGCCGGGTTCTATGCTGGAGAGATCCACTTCGAGGGAGGCAAGAGCGAGCACGTCTTTGCTGGCGGACATGCTGAGGACGAACTTGAGGATGAGCAGGCGGAGGAGGGAGGCGTAGACGAAGCGGCCACCAGTGAGGACGAAGTAGGCGAAGGCCCGCTTGCTCGGATCCCCTGGGGGGAAGCGCTCATGGTTGTACTCGTCGTAGATGATTTTTGAGGTTGGGGTCTTGAGGGCCACCGCCGTCGCCGGCAGCACCGCCTCCAACTCCTCTGCCCGCTGCTGCTTTGGCACCAGCGTCTCCGTAGCGAACCCTGTCCGCCGTGGGCAAACACCAGAAAAGAAACCACCGAGCAGAGATAAATCAATGATTTCGTTCATGCTGGTGGTCAACAACATACACTCAGTCTCTCTCTCTCTCTCTCTCTCTCTCTCTCTCTCTCCTCTCATTGTGTGTGCCCCATAGAGGCAGGGAAAAGGGAGTTTCAACAGAAAAAAGGAAAAAAAAGATCTGGTTTATGTGAATCTAGCAGACTACACTTCACCATCAAGAACAGTTGACCTCAAGGATTCTAAAAGGTGGGCAGGCAGATGGTCAAACAGAACAGTACACTGACTGTGAGATGACCGAGTACATTCACGTACTGTTTATTGCTACAAGCAAATGATGTGTCGACAATGGAAAGTATCTTTCCCATCTCCAACTTCCACCTCACCCACTGAAAACGTGAGCAGGAGTCTTCAAATAATTCAACTCAAAAACACATTTGACCTGCTACATGTTTCACTAGTGATTTTGCCCTCTTTTCTCGCTATAAAAAAGAACCACCTTCCAAAAGCCATCATCTTGAATGATGATCGTCCTCAACTCCCAGTCTCCATTTTATACCTAGAAGCATCTTTTCTTCATTTCCTCCGTCGTAATGGAGACTCTCTGAATAGACTCCCCAGACTGAAGCCGTTTTTTATAGGAAGCTGAGATTCACTCGCAGCTTATGAAGTAAGAGGTAAAATCACAGATATGAGAATCCCACTGATATCATTTACAAGCATTAAGGTTGTCATAAGTTTCAAACGTCTTCCTATTCAATACAGGAATCCCACGGCCAACATTCAGAATTTCGTGTTCTCTATTGATTGTCCACATCGTAGTATGCTTCTACTATGGGCACTTTCTACGACGCAAAAGCAAACCTGGCAAGGCCCATTTTGTCTTAGTTAAGCTGCATATTATATTTCTTGTTATCATCAACATGATGGCAAATTAAAGCTGATTTATCCAAACCAACCATCAAAACGGAGATCGCCAAGAGGCTATGATGGTAAAGAGTTGTGTCTTCAAATGCTCATGAATGTTTCCACTTGAAAGGGAATGTCCACATTGTATACGAGACAGCAAGGGCCCCTTCGTTATACTTTAACTGGCAAACCTGCCGGCCTCTAAATGTTACCACCCTTACCAAGGTATGGATACATACCATAGGCTGCTAATGAACAGCTCATCAGCACCTATATTGATGAATCTTATAGAGATTCAAAGAGACGAACCTTCCATTTAAAATTAGGCGCGCAGTCAAGATGGTTACAAGAGCACAGGATGCTCTTTGACATTAGGGGGCATCTTCTTTGCATACAAGAGGAAAACTGGCATCTCCTGAATTGGCGAAAAGTTAATTAATATCAAGAAGCAGAAGTTTACAGCACTGTTAACATGGATTATTAACCAGAAACGAAAGAAAATGTTAATCTGAATAGGGCTTTTTAGGCCCCAGATTGTCTCACATGGATGTTCAGAAGATCGGAGAATGCTTTCGCAAATTATTGGAAAGTTAAAAACAAAAGAACAGCATGTTATATCTCAGATAAAACGCCATCAGATTGTCATCGAGAAAATAACTCAAAACCAACCAGAACTTATAAACTTTCAGATATTATTCTACTATCTCGTATGAAGAAGATGCAAACGTGTCATATCTAAACCAACCCAGCAAATCAGTACAAGTTAGCAGAAAAATCTGGTTTTCTAGAATTAACCATAAAATGCCATCACTCTTTCAGTCTCCAAACGAATAGTGAGTAATCAGTTCAAATGGCTTGATATCGTTAACAAATTATTTCATTTTCTAACCACATCCTAAGAACCCACCAAGTTCTTGAACAAAATAAATATAATTCAAACCAGTAAGGAAACAGACAAGTTAATACTCCACACAGTAACAACTTCATTAATGAATGGCAGGCAGTTTACGCAAATTTATCAGCCAGTTTCTGTAGAAACACAACACTCTCAAATTTCACATAGGAGCCCACTCGTCAAATTTTAGGTAATTGTGTGAAACTTTCATATATTTACATCAATATGAGAAACTTTCAAAAGGCCGAGTGAGACTTTAGGCAAATACACTAACCTAGAAGAATAGCATGTCACCTAATAATATCAGCGTTTAAAATCCACGAATAAGAACAGAGGATTGAGGTCGACAAATAGGGAGAGCTGACCAGTGTACGGTGCAAGTTGGTGAGAAATAATGGCAGCCCATCAACGAAGGTGCTGGAGACGAAATTTTACTACGGGGCTCAAATTAATCCTTTGAACTGAAGTTAAGGTTAGTCCAGCGTATCAAATGTCATGAAGGAATAGTTCAGCCCAGATTTATTGACAACAGCATTTAAGTGAATGAGGGACATCTAGCAGACGTAACATATGGGTACAACAGATCAACAGATCCCCTTGTTCTTGGTGACAGGCTAGTTTGAACAAACAACCCCCTGCTTTGTCAGGCGGAGCTGGGATACAAACACTCCAGATGCGTAAGAGAATGTCATGTTAGACCCTCAGAAAATACTTTTCTAGAAATCAAATGAGACATTTTTCAGAGAAAATAAAGGCCAGAAATATTCTGGACGAGACAAGTAGAAAGGCAAAAAATCTAGAGGTGAAAGAATGGATTTGAAACAAATTATTTCCTTGATTGGACATACCATAGTGTCCCTGTTCCTAGCATACAAACACAACACAACTTCTCAGAACTTTCATTATCTATTGGTGAGAGGGAACTGTTGCCGGCAATCATTAATTTTCAAAATATTTTCTAGTTTTCCGTTTATCGATTCACAATGCAAAGAGAGGAATGCGTAACACATTCTCAGGTATAGAGAGTGTGACATTATAAAGAATAATCGATGGATAGGGATAAATTACAAGTAATGAAATACGATTGTGAAGCGTAAATCACGTCCAGAATAGCGACGAACACACCGCGGATCCCATATGCCAAAAACTCCTTAATAGCCCACTTGACGACACGAAGAATCCAGGTGGTCAAATAAGTATAAAAATCAAACAGGATTCTCAAACGGAACAACGGAACGACGAAACCCTCATCTGTACAAGAATCCCAATCGAACACAATAGCTTAGAGGACAAAGCAGCAAAAATTAACATAGGGGGAAAAAAAACCTAACTCCTATCACACGAAGCCATCAAATCCCTAGGCGAGCCAGATAAAAAATCGCCAACCATCTAGAAGTGAAACAGAACGACGGGGAAGGGAAGACCAGAATCCAACCTCTCGCCGATCCGGGGAACAAGAATTCGCTCCCAAATCTGAAAGGAGACGCGACGGATGACAATCCGGGGCTATCGGAGCAGGCATCCACAGGGATCGGGTTCCTGGCGACAAAGGAGGCGACAGGCGCCGGCCTGTTCAGCAGGCACGACAACCTCCTCCCCGCGACCCTCAGCATCTTGCTCGCCCTCCCCTTCCCCTTCTTCGATCTCGTCGGCTAGGTTTCTGTCCGTCGTCCTCCGGATCCTCCACGGGTATGCCGGTCGAGGCGCAGAGAGAGAGACACACATACACGGTAAAATATTAAACAGAGAGAGAGAGAGAGGAAGGTTGGGCCGTCCATTGTGCTCAAACGGGAATTGGGCCTCGAAGGACCCATAGTCAAATTCCTCTCTCTCTCTCTCTCTCTCTCTCTCTCTCTCTCTCTCTCTCTCTCTCTAAATATATATATATAAGGTTGGGCCGTCCCTTGTGTTCCCTAAACGGGAATTGGGCCTCGAAGGACCTATAATCAAATTCCTCGACTTCTCTCTATCTCTCTCTCTCTCTCTCTCTCTCTCTCTCTCTCTCTCTCTCTCTCTCTCTCTCTCTCTATATATATATATATATATATATATATATATATAGATATAGATATAGATACATGCAACTTACGTAAAACTCTTTGTAAATTATCAAATTAATTTACTATATAATTTAGATCCCTGTAAAATAGAAAAGGATTGTAAGCAAACACACAATTCATCTTGTGTTGCTAGTTTCTCGTTACTAAAATAATTTACCACTCACTTGGAGCCAGTCATATTGTTTTAAGTTATGTGACATAATTTAGTTGAGTTTGAGAGTAGGTCAACAGAATTCTAGTGGTGGACTTCTAATTTTTTGCTTAGGCCCTAGCCACCTTGATCAAAATGTTGACTTTTGGACCTTTTGGAATTCTAGTGGTGGATATTTTTCGTCTTTTCTATCAATAGCAAATATGCTCCGATATCTAATAAAAATATTATAAATATATGGTCCTAATATCTTCTTATGTTTATCATAGTTCAAGGTCCTTTTTCATTTTTAGAGGGGGAGTTAACTCACTTTGCAACAAAGATGCTACTAAAAAGGATAAAACTATAATTTTATGCCAAAATAATCTACTCAAATATTTAGTTCTTATTCTAATGATCTAAGTCAACTCACTTAGGTGATGTTGTCCAAAATATAAAAACAAGAGATTTAAAAGAAATGATCAATTTTCCCCCCCTTGATTCATCCTTAGCCCTCTTAACTTTGCCCAAATTCAAAACTACAATTTTACACTAAAATAATTTACTAAAAATATTTAGTTCTTATTCTAATGATCTAAGTCAACTCACTTAGTTGATGTTGTCCAAAATATATAAAAAGCAGGTTTTTATTTAAAAAATGATCAATTTTCCCCCTCTTTATTCATCATTAGCCTTGCTAACAAAAACAACACACTTCAAAGGGAGTCAATATTAATATAAGTAATTAGAACCATAACATGAGGTTTTTGAAAAGTTGAACATATTGGGCATATGTTGGAACTAATTCACTCCCTCTCTTATAGTAATTTTGCCTACAACCTCCTTGAAGCCAACATCATATTTCCAAGATCAGTTGAATGAAGAGCATGGTAACCTTTGCTTAGATTGTCTGAGGGACATTGCAACAACATGAGCTTAGGGTAATAATATATTAGGAAATTGGTAACTATGTAATAAATTCAAGCACTATGCTGACAAAACAAACTTCTCTAAGACATTTCCAGATGATTTGCTATTTTATGTTTTCTCCCATTATTATTTAGTCATTTCACAAAAGTCTATACACACTAGAAAACATATTCTTATAAGTTTTCCATTTTACGGCAAGCATCGCAAGAATTAGATGAGAGAGAGAGAGAGAGAATGGAGACGACCTGGAAGAGGTGGGAGGGAAAAGGAGCGAGTGAATTTAGGGCTTGGAGATTATCTTTTCCAAATCTAGTAAAGATTTACCACTTTTAATCCAGAGTTAAATTCAGTCGTATTGACATATCATAACAAATAAAAAGTCAAGGAACTTACACAGAAATCCAGTGGTTTCTAAGGACCCATAGCTAATAATTATAAGCTTTAGGGCAAAGGTAACAAGAAGCCTATTTCTTAGATTAATTCAATACCAAAAACACCAAGAAACAGTCTACAAGAGAACACCAACAAGCTACTCCCCTTATTCAACAGTAATAATTGAAGGGTCTAGAGAGAGAGAGAGAGAGAGAATGACTCCCCTTGCCTTTAGAGGCCGGACTCCTGCATAGCCCTGACCCGGGTAGGGAGGCCATAGAGCCGGATGAACCCTGCAGCATCAGCCTGGTCGTAGATGTCGCCATTCTCAAAGGAGGAGATGTCCTCCCTGTAGAGGCTGAATGGGCTCCTCCGGGCTGCCACTGAGACCGAGCCCTTGTAGAGCTTGAGAGTCACAGAGCCTGTTGTGGTCTCGGTGAGCCGCTCCATGAAGGCATCCATGGACTGGCGGAGTGGGTCGAACCACCGCCCGGCATAGACCAGCTCAGCATACTTGAGGGCCAGGGTGTCCTTCACCTGCAGTGACTCTCGGTCGAGAGTCAACGACTCAAGTTCTCGGGCCGCCGCGAAGAGGATGGTGCCGCCAGGGGTCTCGTAGACCCCCCGGCTCTTCATGCCCACCAGTCGATTCTCCACCATGTCGATGCGGCCAATACCGTGCCGCCGCCCAAGCTCGTTCAACTCTGCCAGCAGCGCCGCTGGTGAAAGCTCCTGGCCGTTGACCGTTACTGGCAGCCCCGCCACAAACCCAATCTCTAGGTATCTGCAACACCAAAATGCAGGGCAAGGATAATTTAGAAGATCAAAGGTCTTCTAAGTTATCAAAAAAAAAGAAAAATACTTTTTTCACTTTTTCTTAGTTCATCAGAAAAAATCAAGTAAGAAAGAAAGGAGACTGAGGCAATTAATTACTCAGGGGAATCAGGGGCATCTTCGGGATCCACAGTCATCATGTACATGTCCTTTGCTGGCTCATTGGCCGGGTCTTCCAGAATATCCCCCTTCAGTATCAAGAAGGGCTAATTAAAAAGTTATCAATTTTGGAAAAAAAATAACAGATAGAATTTAATAGCCATACCTCATGGCTAAGGTGCCAGAGGTTTCGGTCTCTGCTGTAGATGGACTTCTTCGTCACGGGGACGGGGACATTGTGCTTCTTGGCATACTCGATGGCATCCTCCCGGCCTCTGATGTCCCACTCCCGCCAGGGGGCAACCACGTTCAGTTGGGGATTCAGGGCAAAAAAAGTCAACTCAAAGCGGACCTGACGAAAATAGGCGTGAAAAGTCAACTTAAATGTAATCATGAACCAGAATTGGAGGAAAAAGGAAAGAAAGAGAGGTGGGCTGTGCATACCTGATCATTCCCCTTTCCAGTGCACCCATGGGCAACTGCATCAGCGCCAACTTCTTTAGCTACATCGACCATAGCCTGTCATCTCAGAGGAACAAGGCAGGAGAGGAAAGTCAGCGAGAGAAGAAACCCACCTCTGCGGAGGAACCTAAGTCAACCGAAGAACCATTCCCCCTCCCCATGAGACAAAGCCGTTCTCATATGTTCAGGACAACCAGGAGACTATAGCGTGGGGCGTAAAATGACAGATAGAGCAAACTGGATCTCAAGTAAACCTGCAGAGGTTTTACTCATTGGAAATTGGACAGCAGTGACTAGCCTGATTATCAATGATAGGTAATAGGGCAACAAGCATACATTTCTAGAGAGAGAGAGAGAGAGAGAATCACTAGAAAAGCAGAGAAATAAAAAGGGATATGTCCCATACAACCAGAGAAGGGGAGCCCTGTAGGGATATGGATACTACCTTAGCGATGACAGGGCGGGCCATAGACGTCCCCAGCAGATATTTCCTCTCATAGACGGCGCCAGCTCTCAAGCACGGGTAGATGAAGTCTCTCACAAATTCCTCCTTCAAATCCTTCACCACAAGCTGACTCGCACCACTCGCTTTGGCCTTGGCTTCCAGGCCTTCCAGTTCCAAGTCACCCTTGTAGAGATAACGAAATTCAAGGGGACATCAATCGGCAATTAAGAAGAACAAATGAACAAATATTCAGTCAGGGATGACCCCAAATTGAGAAACATTCAAATTGAGAAAGTTTTGGGAGTGAGAAGAGGAGAGAAGAACGTGAATTGAATGTGAGATCGGGGAACCCAGTACTTGGTTGAGGAACAAAACCATAAATAGATTGGTAGATCTGATTCATGCAGTACATTCCATAAGAAAATTAGATAAGAAGAGAAGAAACCGATTTATAAAGACAGCTAACTACCCAAAAATGATGGCACTCTTGAAGAGCTAAGGCACAGCTCAAAGACAAGAAAGGTGAGTCTATCTCGCCAATTCAGATTGACTGTACTGTTTTGGATCGAATCTCAAAACAGAAGCATTCTCTGTGGCATCATCAGTAGTACTCGCATCAAAACTGACTCCACAAAAGAGAACGTTGTTTCACAGGAAGGAGCAAAAGTGAACAAAATCCATTTTCATCAATAGTGACCCCTTACGTTCTCCTTTGAAAAAGCACCAATTGATTCATGGCTGACTGCTTTCGAATGAACCGATGTGATGGCAACACTGAAGCATTATTTTTGAAGGAATAATGAAACCAGGTGATGTTCAATCAACACAAAAGTGTGCCCTAAATGACGGAAACAAAAAGGATTACTCTGAAAATGATTAGTTTTTCTTAGCAATCTTTCTCTAGTCAGCATTACGCAAAAAATTTGACAATGCCTGCTGATACCAAAGGAATGATAAAAGAAACCGAGTAAACAATTTTTGTTTAGTCCATTGGCATACCTGGCCAACATCTGCTGTGAAGCAAACAACATCACATCCATAGTTTTCCCTGTGACAGATACCAGAAACGAGTGTTCAGAAAACATGATGTTTTGATCCCACTGAAACGGGGAAATCTGGAAAATGCTTCGGCATGGACAATTTATCCTTCAACTAACTCGAAGGCTTTCTAAATCCAAAGTTACAGTCAGGCAAGATTTTAAATTTTGAAAGAGAAGCAAATTTTTTCAACCTGAAATTTGAAAATTTTCAGGATATCCTTTAAATAAATATAACAGAAAAAAATACTTACAATACTAATCATGTGACCATCAATCTAAAATAACTCTCACCACTCTACCAATTTTTGGTTACGGGAGCCTCTCTCATTATATTACAACAGTTACTGTCAAAAAAAAATATATCATTGCACTAAAAATAGGAGTGAATAAATACATACACTAAATGAATTACAGAGAGTATCATGAACACACCCGGCAAGAGATTTCAAATACTTGAATGGATTAAAAAAAAAGATAAACATGATATTCGAGTAGGAAAAAATGAGCCTTACTTCAACCAAGGAACAATTACTGAGGTGTCCAGACCACCACTGTAAGCTAAAACCACTTTATTCAGTTTGCCACGCAGACCTGTAATCCTTGAACTCGCAGAACCATCAGTCTTCCCAGTTGATGTATCCTTTTCAGAAAAAAGTGTATTTTGGATGGCTGCATTAATAAATACGAATATGTTAGCTAGAATAAAAGATATTTCCTACGCTAAATGTTAGAAAAATAAAATTAATAACGAGATACACTACTAACAGTTCAAATAAACATAATAACAAACTCAATTATCAAAATTTATGGCTCAACAAGCTGACTCCGCCGAAACAACAAAAACAATCTGCGATGATCCACGATGCAGAATTATTCAATTGCTTCCAACTTCATTGGAAGAACAAATCTTCATCCATTAACAATTCAAATTATCGAGTCCCATTCACAATATTTCTCAACTCATGAGCTCTAAGATGTCCAGAATAAATAAGATGTGCCAAACAAACTAAACAGTTTTCTTAACACCGATCGAGCTATCAGTCACAAAATCCACTCTCCTCAGCATGATGTCGCCTCTACTAGATTATGAAGGCATTTTTTAACATCTAATTAAATTAGATCAGGTGATCATTCAAATTAAGAACAGAAGCTCCTTACTTTTCTTATAGAAAACTTATAACTGGACCCATAGGGGTATATCCATTTATTCACTCAACCAAACTCTGAATTAGTTCGTTGTGTTCCATTCAAAGAATTCAAACAAGATGTTCTGTTAAGAACGAAATATGCTCAGAGTTATACATTAATACAACGTGCTACTTTTTCCATTCGTTTCCTTTCAAGATCAGTCATGGTCTCAAAAAGTCTACCGATGGTATGGACGAATCTGTTGCTTCATCCTAATGTATAAAGGATCCTAGCTGCACTTAAAAGCGTAGTACTCTCCATTGAATCAGCAACCAGAACAGATACAATTTAGACATTTTCGGAATCCTTTCAAAACAACCAAAGAGATTGAATTACACGATCCTCAGTCCCAGACTTTGGCACACTGAAGTTAAACTTTTTCCTCTTGACACAGCACAGCTCCAATTCCTAACTTCCAACCTCTAAGCCTATCTCACACGTCCCTATTTTCATTTTTTGCACAGTATCACTGAACAAAAGCCCTGTCATTTAAAAGCACAGCATCGTTATTTTCTTCTTTAACTATCATACCATTATTTTTTATTTTTTGTTTCATATAAATAGAATAATATTGAGTGACTTGAAATACAACAATGTGACAAAACAATCAAATAAAATGCTTCCTACAACTTCAATGAGGAACCCTTTTGGTCCATTAGGTACGGTACCATTCACATTTGCGAGCTGTTATTCATCTTGCCATTTAATAACTTATAATCAGATTATGTTAAGAAAATATCTGTGGCTAACTGTTGTCAGAATTTCAAGCACGTCAATATTTTTAATAAATGAAAATAGGGGTATTTATAATCATGATCACTGCAGTAACGTAATTTTTTATTCAGTCGATTTAAATTGGCATTTTCCCATCACAATTACTGTAATGAAGCATCCACAATTATTCGCCTTGGACATTTTTTTGTGAAAATGTTCGTCTATTCAAATACGGATCACAGAAAGCCAGCGGCTACCTCTTCCCCATACACCAGTTCTCCACGCATTTTATGGTTCTATTTTATTCGAATTCCCCCCTACAACCGAGAAAAGATAATGATCAATTCTTCAATGATTGCTCTCATGTCCCACAAAAGATTGTCCCATTGTCCGGTTAAAATGGGGTCACCGTTGCACTGCCAGTTACTTTCCCACTCTCAGCATGTTCATTCCTTTCTCTACCCCCACAGGTGCCTCACAATATCAGGAAAATTCCCACTATAGTTTTACTTCATGAGATCGCCCTCTTCCACAGATTCCAGTTGTCCAAAAGGGGATTCCTTCAATAGGTGAGAGAGCAAGATTATTGATTGAGGAATAACGTGCGGCCTCAGTCACATGGGTGCAAGATTTAGAGGGAGAAGAAGCCTATCGTCCTAAAGAAAACTTGCAGATCCTGACTGAGTTCCTCAAAAGCTAGCCATCAGCGGGAGAGGGTATCTCTTAACTTCTTGTTCTATTACAAGAGTCCCCATGTCAGCGATCAGAGGGTTAACCAAATACATAAAACCGTTCTTCTCTTTAGGGAAAAGACATGGAATTCCATAGAGGTCTGGAGTCACAAATCGTAAGGGCTTTGAGAGATGAATCAAACTTCTGTCATAGCATTCTTCGAATGATAATAATAGCAACAAAAAACATAAAATTTTATAGTAATCATGGAGCTAGAGATAATTTCATTAACCACAGAGATTTTCAATCTCATGAATATCACTAGAAAAAAGAACAAGTCTTCACAACGGTAGAAACTGTTTCAATTTCAACGGGAAAAAAGACAGCATAATACCTCGGCTTTGTGAAACCTTGACTTGGCGTGCAGGGTGATTAATTTTAAAAGCACCATGAAGACCACTTGAATTGGCACCTACCTAATAAGGTTCTAATAAGATTCAAAATTAGCAATTCAATCCATCCACACAACTGACCACGTGAGACCAGAAGAAAGGAAGTAGAACCTCTCGGGATGAGTATGATTTCCTTGGGTAGCAAATACTATCACGAGATCCCACGTTTTCTGGAATTCAACATACAAATGAAAACACTCAACCTCCGAGTAATGTTCCTCAATATTATGATGAGAATTTTTCTTCAAGAAATAAATAGGCTTAAGCTAGCTGTAAAGATATTGGGAGGATAATCTCTCTCAGGATTTTGATCAAAGTTAAAGATCGGTCATTGAGGTGGTACAAAATAACTAAAAAAATGGAAGGAAATGCTGATCCCTTTAGAAATGTCTCTCTGTTCTTGTAGTATTTCTCTCTTTCCTCCATACGTACAAACACTAGGCTTAATTTCTACTGAATCATGCAGCATTACCTCAATAAAAAATGAAAATAATTTGAGATTCTGAAAATTCCTGGAAAGGACCATAACACTCTAGTAACTCCCAGCCGTCGTTATGATCGAAAACTCAGAAAAAACAGACCAATAAGCCCAACACGACTTATACACTGATGCATTTCTTTACTTTGGTGGGGATGAAAAGACAGCACTTATGGACAGCCGCGCAGACCACACACATCAGAATAATCCAAAGACAGTACGCATCACTTTAAAGGTCGCCTCGGACCTGGAAAACAGCCAAAAAGCCAAAAATAGACGAAGGATAGAAAGAAACAGAGAACAGAGCAGAAAAACCACTAGAGCGAAAGTTTACCGGGCCTACTGACGCCATGGATCCCCACGGTGCCGGAGGACAGTCCTGATACTGCCTGAAGGTTAGCCATGCAACGCCGACAACACTGCCCAACGGATAAACCCCTCCTCTAGAACCCTAGCTCGAGTTGAAGATATGGGAACCTTGAGGCCGCGTGGTCCAGCTGAGGTTTTATGATTTCAACACCTCACGAGGGCCCATTAAGCTGCAAAGCTGCTGAGGCTGTACAACTTGATACGGCCCACTAGGCATCTTGCTCGCCTTCTCCTCTTCCCCTACGGGCATGCCCCGCTCGAGGCCCAGATGTGGGGGGGGGGGGGAGGGGAGAGAGAGAGAGGGGGGGAAGGTTATGCCGTGGCCTGTGTTTCTCAAACGGGAATTGGGCGTTGGAGGCCCATAGCCAAACTCCGCTTCTGACGACTTAACCCGAAGTCCAGCCCAGCCCACCCCAGCCCCTATGGGCCCAGGACTCGAACCAAAGTGAGCCCCAGACCAGTCCGCCTCTCTCTCTCTCTCTCTCTCGCTCCTTGTAGTGTGTTTGTGATGGTTCATAGTCAAGAGCTTTTTCTATGTGAAATCCCTCTATTTTCCTCCTCTCCTCTCTTCCCATTCTCTCCCAAAATCTATACTTTCTCTATAAAAATCATCCTCATTTTTTCCACAAGTGATATTAGAGTAGCCAGGTTCATGTATTGGACATTTTTCTTCTTCCATGGAGATTTCAGCAACATCAATGCAGATTCAAATGAAGTTAGTGAAGGTTTTTGGGTATTTCTAAAGATTTCTTGCTATAACAACGAACATTAAGGTTCTATTTGAAGCTTTTTTCTGAAGAGGTAACGGCAATAACTTTGAGAATGTTAAATGGTAATTCCCTTAACATGTCAACCTCTCGTGTCATTTTTTTAATTAGGAGAAATATGATTTTTGGAGTATTAAGATGAAAATATTTTTTATTTTGCAAGATCTATGAGATTTAGCTGAGAATGATAATAAAGAAGAAGAGAGTTCTAAACAAAGTAACAATGAATTTCAAAATAAGATGCTAACGTGATTCTAGTTTTACAAATGTCAATTTTAGAAATTATATTTCCACGTATTACAAATGCCACAAGTTCTTTAGAAAAATAAAAGAATTTAAGAGATAAATTTGATGGAGACAATAAAGTTATAGTCATCAAACATTAAGAACTCCATAGAGAATTTGAAACTATTCTATGTAATTTGGTGAATATATTCATGATTTATTTTTTCAAATTTTAGTTATTATTAATCAAATGATATTTTTTAGAGAACATATCTCAGAAAGAAAATTTATTTAATTTGTTTTGAGAATACTTCCATATAAATTGGCCATGTTCCTATTGTCACAGAATAATTTAAAGATATTTGTATTTATACTAAAAATGAATTGATGAGATATTTATTGGTACATGATGAAAGAATGAATAGATTTACTGAAAAATCTCTTAAATAAGTATTGCAAGCTAAAGTTGAAATTTCAAAGAAAGAGAAAAATAGTAAAGACACTTCAAACCAAAGATATGATAATAGAAGTAGAGGTCAAAGAAATATCACAACCAAAGTTATGGGAGAGAAAATGGTAGTTCTAATTATAAACTTCAAAGAAATAATGATGAAAACAACCAAAATTTATAAACCATATTATAGAATGATGAAATTTCATTTTTACAAAAAATATGGACATTTAAATGTATTTTTAGGACAAAGTAAAACAATAAGAAAATATTTGGAGAAGGGAGTCATAAGCCAATGTGTAATTTTGGCAAGAAGTATCAGTATATTGGAGTAAATTATTGGGATACAAAAATAGACCAAGAAAATATTGTTAGAGGAAATGATAAAAATAATTTATTCATTACTTTTGTATCTTCAAACACAAGTAAATCAAATATATGATGTGTTGATACTAGTTACAGCAATCCTATGGTAAGAGAAAGAAAATCATTTCAAAATATTGATACATTTAGGATATGTGATGTTACACTTGGTGATTGAAATAGTGTGAAAATTAAATCCATTGGTACTATTGTTGTTTATAAAAAAATAGGTATAAATACTTTGATTAACATGATGTTTATTTTGTTCTAAACTTAGCACACAATTTACTTAGTGTGAGTTAATTATTGGAACATAATTATACTTTTCATTTTGAAGATGATAAATGTGTTATCAAGTATAAGAAAAGTGGTATGTCTCCTATGATGATTTTTAAATTGATGTTTTAAGACTTAATAAATTGATGATTCATCTTAAAATTTAAGACTTAATAAATTTGACATGATTATTAAATAAAATGATTGTCTTCACTTTGGGATTTATGTTATAGTCATTTTTACTTTAATACATATGATTTCTTACTTACCATCTATTTCAATAAATAATGAACTTTGTGAAGGATGTGTTTATGAAAAATCATATTGATTATATTTTGCAATAGAAAAATCTTAAAGAGCAAGCTTTTTTTGAATGATTACATGATAATATTTGTGGTCCAACGAGTACACTATCTTTGAACAAGAATTGATATTTTCTATTGATTATTAATGACTTTACACACATAAGTTGGTTATATTTTCATTCTCAAATATCTGAAATATTTGATAAATATATTTAGTCTAAAGCCTTTGCCGAAAAATCAAGTGACCATGTTATAAAAACCCTTTGAACAAATAAAGAGAAAATTTATTTCTGAATTTGAGTGATATTTTAAGAAATATGTCATTAAAAATTATTTACAATTAGAAAAAATTTGAAGCAAAATGGTTTTTATTAGAAGAAAAAAGAGAAAATTGTAGAAAAAGCATGCTTTGTGAGAAACATCTTCCTAATGAGTTTTGGGCTAAAGTGGCTGCAATAGCCATTTGTCTTTTAAAAATTTCTCCTACTAAGACAAGCATCAATATGACCCCTCATGGGCATGATACATTTAGAAGCTAAATATTGGTCACTTAAAAATCTTTCATTGTGTTTCGTATCCATTAATTGATGCAAATGATCATAGAAAAATGGACAAAAGGAGTGAGATTTTGTTTTTTAACTATAGTAATGAGAGAAAGGCTTATTATTTATATAATAATAAAATAAAATATTAATTAATCATACTATTATATTTAACGATTATAACTAATAAAATTTGATTAAAAATTTAGTTTATCAAATATCATATTATGAACATCAATACAAATTTATACAATTCAATGAAGATTCAACACTTGAAGCTCCTACATCATTTAGTTCACCTTAGAGAGAGTCTCTAAGAAATTATAATGGTTTTAATGGCCACAATGACTCAAGTCTAAATTTATCAAATCATCCAAGAAAAATGAAGCTTCAATGAAAATTCAACACTTTAAGTAATCTTTATAAATCATGTTTTTTTTCTTATGATTATAGAGTCAACAAGCTATGAGGAGGCATAAGACAAAGATGAATAAGAAAAGGCAATGAAAGAATAAATTTTAACAATTGATAAGAATGACATGAGAGTTCGTGGATTTGTCACCAAAGACTAAAGTTATTGGTGATAAATGGGTTTATAAGGTAAAAGTATAAACTAATTATAATGTTTAGAAACATATGATTGGGTTAGTGATAAGGAGATATGCATAGCAACAAAGTATTTATTACTTGGAAATTTTTCCTCCTAAAGCAGGATTTGAAATAGCTCATATTATTTTAGTTTTAGCATTACAAATGAAATGAATTGTGTTTTAATTTTATATTAAGTTAATATTTTTGAATGATTATTTGAATGAAGATATATATATTAATTAGTCACAAGGTATTATTATAAGTTAGAGAGGAAATAAAGTTTATATAATCTCCTATTGGTGGGAGGGAAGACCTTGTATGATCTTAAACAAGCACCCTAGAGTATAGTAGAGTAGACTTGATTTATATTTTAATTATTATAATTTTCATCAAAGTGAAAGTGAGTCAATCCTTTATGTCAAGATTAAAGGAAAAGATATTTTTATTATTTGTGTTTATATTGACGACATTGTTTATATTTGATCATTTTTTACATTAATTTTAGGGTTCAATACTTCTATGATAGTTGAATTTGATATGACTGATTTAGGATTATAACATTATTTTCTTAGACTTTAAATTATTAAAAATAAGTATGATATATTTATCTCACAAGAGAATTATACATCTGATTTACTCAAAAAGTTAAACATGTTTTAATTGCAAGACTTGCTCTACTCTTTGAATTCCCATGACAAATTATATCTTGATGATGGGATTGTAAAAATAAATTAATATTTTTATATAAACTTGATTGATGGGTTAATATATTTGATTCATACTTGACTAGATATATTATTTTCAATTAGCATGATTCTAGATTTTATGCATTCTCTCAATTCATCATCTTAGAGCAGAATTATGTTCAAGGAACTATGAATTATGAAACTTTATATCAACATGATTTTGAATTCAAAATTTTTGGTATTGATTGAGTAAATTCTTGATGATAGAAAAAGTACTAATGGTTTTGTTTTTAATTTTGGTTATCATCATTTGAAGTTAAATATATCAATAACTACATAACAAGTGATATAGATGTGGAGTATCTTAGAAGATATCAATTTACCACAATCAACACCAACAATGATATATTATGATAATATTTTAACTATATTGATGACAAAAAATTTGACATTTCATGGAAGAACAAAGTATATTGAAATTTGCCACCAATTTATTCAACATTTAGTTGCTGCAAATTGTATTAAAATAAAGTTTTGTTCAACATTAGATCAAGTTGTAGATGGTTTTACAAAAGTGTTGAGTTACACTAAGTTCATCAAATTTAGATAAACTCTTGGTGTTAAGCAGAAGTATTAGTATTTAATGTAAAAAATAAGAGAAGTCATTTAATGTTTGTTGTCCTTATTGGGCCTTTTCTTTTTGTCTTTATTGGGCCAAAAGGTGGTAGTTGTTTTAGTCTTTAGTGGCTCAAAAGGGGGGCAACCCACATTGGGCACTTATAATGTAGATACTCTCTCTCTCTCTCTCTCTCTCTCTCTCTCTCTCTCTCTACTCGTGGTGTGTTTGTGGCGGTTCATAATCAAGGATTTTTTCTACACGAAATCCCTCTCTTTTCCTCCTCTCCTCTCTTCCCATTCTCTCCCAAAAATCTATCTTTATCTCCAGAAATCATCCTCATTCTTCCCATGGTTTTTTGGTTGCCTTAGATCTGGGTGACAACCAAAAAACTAGAAGCACAAGAAGAACAAGAGCCGAAGAACAAAACAGAGAAGCCACCAAAACTAAAGTTCATCGACCTTGCTGAAGCCATAAATCCCCAATGTCAAAGCACCGCCCTGATGGAGTTTGAAGCTTAACCATGCAACACAGACGACACTCCGCCTCTAAAACCCTAGCTCGAGTTGAAAATGTGGGGGGATCCTATGGCCAAGCAGTCTAGCTGAGGTTTTATCCTCCCACTGGCAGTGTTAACATAAAGTACTTGTATGAAGCTTCTTGTTAAGCTTCCACCAGTATAATAAAATAATATTCATATCCATATTGCATGTCATAAAATTCAATCGGAAAATAAAGAACCTTTCGTAGTCAAATTATCTTTTACTCACAAAATTAAACATTTTTATATGTTTTAGAAAAATAGAAGTAGATTAGGGATAAATTAATGAGTATGATTAAAATATAATATACCTGCTCACTGCCTTCTGCTTGATGAATTCTTCGCCTCGCAGACCACCGTGTATGTATGGGTAATAAGTATCGAAATACACAAAGAACCCATTTGTCGGGAGAGAGAGAGAGAGAAGGGGGATGGGGCAATGAGAAGGGAAGGGGTGGTGCCACCAGCACTGCCAATGGTGAATGTGGGTTGACTTCTTGTTCCTACTCCACCGGGACCTTAGCTTGCAAAATTTAGCAAAATAAATAAAAAATAAATCTCACATAGGAGAACATTGGATCAGAAAATCCGAGGGACCGACCGAGCCCAAGGCCCCCAACGTCCTGTGGCGGTGGTGCCAGTGGCAGCTTGACTTTTTCCCAGCTGTTGGAGGAGCAAAGGGAAGGAGGGGCGAGGTTCAGCTGGGTTGCAGGTATCATCGTCTCTTTCAGCTTCAGCTGGCCTTGCTCAATTGGCAGCCGCCTCCTCAGTGGCAGTGGCGGTGGAGAGGACTTTGCTCATGGAGTCAAAGTAGGGCCAGCTTCTCCTTGTTTTCTCGTCAACTCGGGCTTCCTGCGCACACACCAAAAAAAGAGGCGTTAACCAGGGTTCTCTCCATTGATGAAGAATGAGAGATTGGCTTCTGCAAGGTTGGAGTGAGGAGGAGGAAGAAGAAGACCTCATATTTTTGAACCAGGGAAGACCAGAGGGATTTGCATTGACCCGGGGAGCGATCAACACCGTGTTGCAGCAGGTTGGCAGATATCTCCTCCCAGAGGACCATCCTGGCCTTCACCGCCCTGAATCGATCATCCAGCTCGCTCCGTTTCTCGATCAGTTTCTTGATCTCCTCAGGCTTCCACTTGTTCCGCTTTGCCGCCGCCTTGGCGGCAGCCGCTGCCGCGGCCGTTGCCTGAGAGGCAGCGGTGGTACTGACCTCCTCAGAAAGCGCCTCCTCAGCTTCAGGCCGGGTGATTTCCATGGGAGCTTCCAAAGGGAGCCGCCCATTGCCGCCACCATCCAAGGCCTCGTCGGCCGATGAGACATCAGACTCTGCAAGTGACTGCGAGAGCGAGGAGATTAAGCTGGAATGCACAGATTTGTACTTGCCCGGGAGATTCCCATCCTCGGAGTCATCACCTGCATGAATAAAAATAGAAAAAATAATAAATAAAGACTAGGAATGAAGAACGACACAGGAGCGATCGTTGCCTAAATTAGATGAACCGAGATTAGAGCACCTCTGGGCTCTTGATCCTCCAGGCTTTGGGAAAGATTAATGGCGGGATCACAGTCTTCTTCATCGGCTGATTCCTTTGGCCTCCTCCTGCCGCTGAGACTGGAAAGGTTCCCGAAAGAGAATTCGAAGCTGCTGTGGGATCTTATGCTCGGTTGGGTCCTCACCTCCTCAACGAAGGTCCCGGCAGTGTTTTCTATGGCACATGCGATCACTTCGGGCCGTTTACTGCTATACTTCCTGACCATTTTCCTCAAGACCTCGGAGACGATCCTTTCAATGTGATTCAACGGAGAGTTTATGGGGAGGCTCGAGAGAGCAGCGTGGGCGGATCTGTACAGAGCGTCCAGGAGCTTCCCTTTGTCGAGCCACAGGCAGCGTGTGGTGATCCTTACTTTCCCCTTGAGAACTGTTTGCGAAGAACCATTAATCTGTGGCCGGAAGACTTCCATGCTGAAACAAGAAAAATAATAATATATCTATCAGTTATGATCGTCAAAAGCACTGCAGAGAAATCCAGTGAGATTTAAAGGAGAAATAAAGAGAATAAATGTTTTATGATTCTATTACATATGATATTCACATGCCGAAGTTAATTCTGCCATGAATGGCTAAATACCTTAATTTTGTACCTGATGTCATGTGAAAACTTAGGAAAATACAGTCATATATCTATTATTAAGAAATCATGTGAGATTAATAGATTGAGAACTTAGGCAAGAAAGTGTGGGGATCCTAGAAACAAAACAAGCCTCAGGCAGTTAAATATGTCATCATATGTAAAAATCATAAGTGAAAATTACTGAAGAGAAAATTGGGTATGATGTTGAAATAGTTAAATCATTAACCTCATAAAAAAAACGGCAGAATCGCAAAATTCACTGAAGCATATGACAGGAAACATTGCAGTTTTTTTCTCTTTATTTTCTTCAGGAAAGATTCCAGGTTGCCCTTTTACCAAGACCGGTACTGTTATTGGAAAAGGCATATATAGGTGAAGACTGAGCCTCTTCTAGGTACTGAGCCAGTCTGGCTCGCAGAGACCATCATGCCCTGATTCATACCCAGTAGGGAGAGTCGAATCACACCCGGCTGTTTATTTCACGATGTGAAGTGCAGTGTTATCATCATCATCGTCGGGTCCCTATCTCATCAATTTGCAAGCTTTTTTTAATGAGGATAGACGATCAACGGATTTTTTATTTTGTATTTTTTGGCAGAGTTCTCCTGACAAGAGGAGTAGGATTAAAAGAAAAGGGCATGCGAAAACCATGTGAGGAGGATATATTCTAGCATCCGATGAAGTGAGATTGTGCTAAGAACAAGTAGGTATCCTTCAGTTCATAAATGAACACCAAATATTTCTAACATTAGACGGAAAGAGGATTTATGAATACTCAATTTTAAGAGCTTTTCTGTAATCAATGACTTCATAACTAATATGAAGGTGAAAAAGAAAAAAGTTCTCTCCACAGAAGGACTAGAAAATAAATAAATTATATTCTCATGGCTCACTTGAAGCTACATCTCAGCAACCTAACAAAGCTCCATTATGCAGAAAAGCACCAGTGATATCTTTAGATATGGTAACAGCCTTTTTACTATTCCCAAGCTTTAGTTCAAGGAAATGTAAATTAAAAAATTCTTCATAATAAATGGGCTAAAGTAAATCAAAGCTTTCATTTCAAAGTTGAAAATTAATTGGAAAATATCTGCCTAAAATAAAGAAGGATATCAGAGTTTAAATACCTAAAGAATGTTACATATCCCTCAATGTAGAAAAAGACAGAAAAACTCAAACTTGGAAGAACTTCCTCATAACATTTAGTTCTTTGATCGTTAGATATGTCAATCTTGGATTTGTTTCCACTTACTTGACGACAATGATGCCATCTGACGCAATTCTTAATCTTTCATCGACGCAAAGATCACTTGAGGTTCCAAATGCTTTATCACCGTCACTGTACATGAACTGTCATAGGCAATTTATATTACCATCCAGCTTTAAAAACATGCACAGACCAAAAATTAAGAAACAATTCAGAAGCAATGCCTACTTGAAAATCTTCCTTTCCAAGTGAAGTAAAACCGTTTGAGAGAACTCTTCGGTTCCTGAGATGCGAAACTCCCAGCATCTCTCCATTTTTTATTACCTAAAGTAAACAGGAAAATATTGTTGGTGAATGCAAGCCAAAAAGTACTATCACTGTTTCCATTATGCAACCCTCTCAGTAGAACTAATGCAAGCCAAAAACTCAGATATTGGTCAATTTATTGAGAACACTCAATTTTCAGGATTAAATCCATGCTCATGCATCCAAACTAAACTAAGTCATTCACTTTAGTAAAATTTAGAATGAAAATAGTCCCACAAGCTATTGGCCACCCAACCTGCTCTAAAGTGAAGATAAATATTCGCCCTTAGAGGATATGCTACAGACCTACGGTTACGATTAACTTAGTTACAGGATTATCGGCAAAACTCCAAGCCAGATAATTCTATGAGGCTAGCCTAACTGTTCAGTTCACAAGCAGCATGCAACACCTTGAAGGTATGATTTATCCACATTGTAGTGCCCTCTAAACGATCACAGCTTATAATCTCTATGCTCGTGGAGGGATAAATTTCATGATTTGTAACTTCTTTCCAAGGATTAATAACATCAGATTCAGACTCAACACTCATCTCACTCTACTACACCACATGATGCTGGATACAAAGTATACCGCACCTGGATCGCTTTCAGATACCTTGAATTAAATTGACAACCTGCAAGTCTCCAACCAAATTTAGTCTATGAAACAAACGTGAATTCATTCCCAAAGCAGCAGGGGCCCAGGAGCGTTGGTATCCAGCTGAAGTTATGGCCCCATGTCCTTACTCTTTAAACCAGTTAATTTCCGAATATCTGCGTACGTTGATGAGTCAAACTCACGATTTCTCGCTTGTTTCTCTTTGATGAGTTATCATCCGAGTTGCCCCTCCTACAGTTTTTCTGAGAAGAAGACCAGTCTTTTATCAAAGTACTTTCCACAAAGACACGGTCACCCATGGTCAGGTCAAGTCCATTACACTGGTCTTTAAGTTATTACATGAACAGGCTGCTCACATGGCAAACACATCTCAACATCATTATGCTGGATGTATGGTAGGGGCAAACCACGTTGACACCAAGTAAATTTTTCTGTCTTTTAAGGTGACAATATGCAGTTCTTTGAGAATGCTCTATGCAAAAGTCGTGAAATACTTGTCTTTCTGAACAAAAGATGTCATGCATATTGTATTCAAAGAAAAGAACGTCAAAAGGACAAACACTAAAGAAAATGGCTCACAGTTGTATGTCGGATGCCAGTTGACTTTCCAAGTAACTCATGTTCCTTGAGGAAGAGAAGCTCTCCATGAATGGGAAGAAAATGTTGAGGTTTCACAATCCTGAGAACTTCCTCCTGCAACAACCAGATCAATTGCCTGTTATATTCGATCCTTGAAAAACAGACTCAAGCACGCTCATTGGCAGAGGGAATCACGAGACAATAAGCCACAAAGACAGTGTGACTGGCAACGTTTCTATGATTGACCAGTCATTGTATACTCACCAGCTCTCCTTGGTATGCATGACCAGACGCATGAAGCCCCTGATTTTTACCCATTATGATAGTTGAACCAATATCAGAAATCCGATTCAGCATCTTCATCACTCGAGTTTCATTCCCAGGGATTACCTGAAGAAACGATGCTAGAACGTCAATATAATAATAAATTGAGCTATTTTAGCATCTTCTTCAACAGAAGTTCACGCTACATTTTACTGGCAGCATAAGTTGACCGAGATATGAGATCAGCTGAGGGACGTTCTGTCAGAGAATGTTATATTTAGTAGAAGTTAAAAATGAAATTGGTATTCGACCTATTTGTATACAATATAAAGGAGAGAGTAGTTTAGAGCAAGTTAAATGTATAAAGTGCACAGGGTAATGATCAATACATAAAGGCATCACAAAATACAAAAATATGTACCAACGAATTATCCCTTTTAACCTGTCAAATACAGAGGTAAAATCCACAGGCATGTCCCCAGAAACACTGGGGAGATTGTTGACATGATAAATTGAATGAAAAATGAAGTCTTACTGTCCTTTCCTTAAACGCCCTCTCATTTTTTTCTTCCCTAGAACCATTGGAATACAACAAACAGGCTTTTGGAGTTCAACAAAAACGTCGGGGTTCAATCAAGCAACAAGCTGCATCTAAATTGCCAACAGACCTTTGGAGATTTTGGAGAGTTCCGAGTCCCCCATACATATAAACTTTATTAGTGAACCACCCGAAAATTGGACAGGGTACAGTTGATTTAGGGGCCTGATAGTGGCCAATTCTGTAAGATCACTAGAAATAAATTTTAAAAAATAAGACCGGGTCTGGCAGGACAGGTTTTGGCATCGACAGGCTTGACACAATTAATTCATTTGGATAGGATCAGGTCTGGCTGATCTGATCAACCCATCCACTCGCAACGGCCATGAGTAAAATTACCAACTGGCGAAGTCCTAAGCACATCCATCTGTATTAAAAAAATTCCTTAGGGATGATGAAACAAGCATTACCTTAGCTGAATATAAAATGACATCATCCTTGCCCAGTTTGAGTGAGTGGCTGCTTCCAAACGATGCAAGATTTAGAGCAGCTCGTGGTTCTGCCTGACACGATATTTCAGATTAGATAGATGATTAAAACCACTAGAAAAGAAAGTTGATCGACAATTGCACGTCTGCTGCAAAACATCTTACTTGAGACCCAGTTGTGACAATCAATAAATCTTTTGGTGCATAGGCATCAATATCCTCCACTTTCACCTGCATAGAAAGTCAATCTAATAAGAGCTACCAACATCTGAATTAATTGGCCATTCTGGGATGTTAGGGTATTATATAGTCTACAAAGCTCCAGACATTATTTTGGCACGGAATTTTGTGTACTCTTTGCAAGAAGTTTTTTATATTATTTGACACCATACCACTGAAGATATTAATAGAAATACTTTGATACGGTAGAATAAATAAAGTTCTTGGCTCCAAAATCATGTCATCTAGAAATAATGTATTCAGAAAAAGAGACTTTTTGGTCTTTCAAAAAAGTTTAAAAAAGAAATTATTTACGGAAAACCTGTGTAAGTATGCAATGTAAGTCCATGGAAGAACCAATTCCGAGTCATAGAATAGTTTCGGGTACTATGAACATGAATTCTTTTATCTGCTTTACCTTCTATCATACTGAACTTTCCAAGTAAGTCATTCTTACTTCAGATCATTCAATAGCAACCATCATATGAAATGTAAATGATGAGGCAATAAAAACATTCAATGGCATCATGTAAGGTTTTATCTTTCATACCAACGTTGATGGATCAATTGGTGCCTTTCCATCTTTGAATGCAGCATCCAAATAAGTTCTCAGGGACATTCCAACGAGTACCTATTACATTAACCAAAGTACTAAAATTAATCATATTACCTTATTCTTGATCCACATTAGAATTGGCCAAGCAATGAATGAGTCGATCTGGAAACATAGACCCGAGTAGAAGTTGATAAGATGAAGCAGCAGTTACCATTTTTCGACCAGTCAAGTCAGCAGCTGTCTTTACGCTTCCAAGACGGTGTATATTAGATGCAAATTGTGTGGTTAAAACCCTTCCTTTAGCAGAAGAAATATGTCGTAACAAAGAATCTGCTACAACAGTCTCACTGACAGATCTTCCAGGTGAAAGTACATTGGTCGAGTCACTCATCATCTGGAAAAGTTGAAACAGTACAGAGAATGTATATAAATTGGTCATTCTCATATGAACCAATAAATAAAAGATATCTACTGTCAAACTATGTAGTGCATTTCTGAAAACGGAAAACAATTATTATTTTCCAGGATTAACGGAGGCCAATGTTGTCAAAACGGATGCGAGTTCAGCTTCCTTGACATGACTACATCTTGCCGGAAAGGAGTCTAATCTTATGAGTAAGCAGACTAGGCAACATAAGAAGTCTAAATAACGCAATTGTAAGTTTGTAAACATTACACAAATATTAGGAGAACAGAAGCTATGGAGATTGTCTGTTACTTAGGAAACCTTATGAGCCAACAGCTTATGCAGACAATAGCAATCTCCAAAAGTTAAACTGATGTTCATTGGTATAAGCGCATCTAATGGCTCCCAATTGGATCTGTTTCAATTTATATTACCTCAAAGATGTTAGAACTATTGGCCCATAAAACTCAACCGATGGGGCCGTTTTTTTAATCACAGGTTTACTTTTATATTTAACCAACTCAGGTTCTTCTAACAAGAGAGATTGCGGGATCCAATCAAGAGTGATTACTAAGATACGATTTGGACATTTCAAGATGGGACTCAACCAGAAAGACACAATTCCATTTTTTACGGCACTGGTAGTAATTAGTACTTAATGAAAACAGCATACAATTAAATTCACATAATCGACCGCAAAATGACCATTTTATAATGATTGCCTTAAAAACATTATCTTGAAACAGATGATGAGTGTTAGGAAGTTCTTATGGGCGAAAGAACTAGAAGAAACATGGATCGAATTTCGAAACAAGGCTTACTAAAGTGACGCCTTCTTTAGAGAGCTCCTCCAAAGCTTCACGATCAAAGACTTTTCCATCCACAGGTGACTCATCAATCTGAAGAGCACACATACTCAATCTACCAACTTCAATCAAACTTATAACAAAAAAAGTAGAAGCCATCATTTACCTTCCAGTCCCCAGTATGAAGAATTGTACCATCACTACATCGTAGCACCAATCCACAGCAATCAGGAATGGAATGGGTCACACGAATAGGTTCAACTTCAAAGGGTCCAGCCTGGAACCTCTTCCTTATTTTGAAAACTTTCAGCCTCGATGGGACAAAAATCCCAAATTCCTTCAGACGCTTCTTAATGAGCTGCATGTATAAAAATAGGATCAGTTATTGTTAATGAACGATTGCAACCCCCCATTAAAAAATGAGAAAATTGATTGGATAAATATATCCCAGAAATTGAGAAGCAACGAAAAAAAAGTAATGTCAGAACTAGAATCTAGAGACAAACCAAGCTAAAAATCAGTAGAAGATAACTCAGAAAATAGATAAGCTGCTTACACTACAGTTAACTATGCAAAACAGTACCTCCATTGTGAAGGATGAAGAAAATATTGGGGTACTTGCATCCAAGGCTGGAATGACCTGTCGTCAACAAGCATTCAATAACAATAAATGCTAAATGTCAGACACCTTTATTACAAATCTGAGAAAGTCAAGTTCAAAATTAAAAAAAGCTTAGAATAATATTTTCCATAAGATCGAGGAAGTCCAGACAACAAAGAGAATCGTACCCAAGGCAATGCACCTATGTGATCTTCGTGACCATGTGTGATCACAACTGCTTCAATCTTATGGCTCCATTTTTTTATGAATGTGGTATCAGGTATAATTTTCTGGACCCCCAATTCATCATAACTACAAGCAAATAACATAAGATGGGAAATCAGGAGAAATCGATGTGGTAAGAAAAACTGGTAGACGTATGAAGGATAGACACGTAAATGGAAAGAGTATTGCATGATTAAATAGGTAAAGGAAAAAGAAAACGATCATAAAATACCACAATGATTATTTAGTAATTCGTCAAGGTTCATGGAAACTGAAATCAAAGAGTAAATTTTTCGCAATGATTATTTAGTAAAGAACTTACTCTAGATTCTAATGGAGACAAATAAGGAAATAAAAAATAAGGATTATAGCCAAGCAAAAATAATGTCAAGGTTGCTGATACGAGATCAATAGTACGCAATTCTCGGATCCAATACCACATTTCTGTAATTGACCTAGCATAACTTACTCTGGAAACATGACTCCTGCATCGATCAATATGTAACGATCATTGTTTCCAACAAGCATACAATTCATTCCAATTTCTCCCAACCCACCAATTGGGAGAACTCGGAGTGGGGGCCCATCTGATCCCTCATAAAACTTCTCCAGCTTTCGCTGAACAGAGTCTTCCATACTCTTTCTAGCACCTTCCAATCTTCCAGATCGCTTTCGGGGTGGCCTAGACCCTCTCACACCTAACGAAACCACCGAAAGAATTGAAAATAAAATGAGCAAAGAGAACTGGATGTAAAACTTTACCATCAATAAGTAGCAGTTTCTAGCATGTAAGAAAAAATATTGAGAAAAGGCGAGCGTCCTTTTCTTGGAGTTAGGGCGATAGCAACTATCTTCACAGATGATAAACAAAGAACAAATGTCTAAAATGCCGAAACTTCTACTGAATTCTTCCTCCAAATAACACATGTAAATCACTGGACCCACGATTTTCCAACTATTCAGTTATGGAAGACCTACAGAAGAATCCACCAAATTAAAAGTCTGAAGAAAATGCTCGTTAAAGGAAGTATTTTAGATTTAAAAGAAGCTCCTTCCTATGCGACTTATAAAGGATAAAATCATGGGATAGAAGCACATGTGCTAATCATTAAAAGACTAATAATAATTCCCAGGAATCATTGAAAGAATGGCTACGTTCCGCGAAAATTTTCAAGCTAATAAAACACTATTCAAAATACTGTGAAGACTTAAGTCACGATAAATATTAAAAAAAGCATCACGGTACCATTGCTGTAGGATACAAAGTGGAAAAAAATGCAAAGATACCCCGGGAACCTTCAACAGAAAAGTGTTCAACTGAAACTTGTCCACACTGTGAAATGCGAAAAAGAGAACCAAAATGCAAATGTGCAACCAGGCCGAGCAAATAGGCGTATTACAGAAAGAAAGCAACGACACCAATGTACTCTCATAAACGGCTGAATTCCAGCACGATATTTGGAGACACATAAATAGTCACAGAACAGGGAGGAACCTAAAGCAGCGCAACAGGGGACGAGGTGAATGGAAGAGTATTTGTTACCTGACCCCGATGCAGGGGTGGCAATAGCGGTGACGATGGAAGATTTGACGAGGAGACGCCTCTGCGACACCATGCAGGGGCATAGAGACGAGGGCGCGCACAGGGAGGTCATCCTTCTCCCAGAAACTTGGGCCAAGAAACCTGGCCGAGCGGAGACCCGAGGAGGGACAGCAACGCTCCACAACAACCGGCCGCCGGCGAACTGGCAGAACTCCCAAGAGCGAGCTTCGGAGACCTCCCTTCGGGATTTCTGGGGGAAGGACCTCCGGGAAGGAGGGAGGGAGCGAGGAAGAGAGCGAAGCGGGAAATGGAGGCAGAGGTGGTGAAGGCCACTGCGGATCTTTCCCTGCCTAAATATCTCTCTCTCTTATCGCTTCCCCGCACGTGCAAACTACAGACCGCCGCGTGCGAACTACGATTTATGGGGGGTTTAAGCCGCTGCGGCATTCATTTTCTCATGAAACTAGCTAGACACGTTTTACAATTTCATATTTATCCGTATAGAAAACAAATTAGATGTCCCCCCAAATTCGGCCATTATTTAAGTCCATAAAATGGATCAACGACTTAAAGAGGGTTTTTACGCAAAGCCGCGCCTTCATCCTGTGATTTTTCCACAAAACTCCAAACAACTAGGAAATTTTGTGAAAAAACCTTATCCTGACCAAGTCAACCATTAACAGGCAAAAGCAAACCACCTAGCGTTACCAAGTCAAAACGTAGATCTCCTAGCTCATCTGATAAAGCAATTATGATATCCACTCAAATCTGATTCGTCCTACTCTAATTCCACTCCTCTATAGATGTATTTATCCACTGTGCCTAACTCCCACAATCATACTTGCTCCCAATACTTATGAACCAATCTCCATCTACGTTGACTTTGTGTTGACCCCTTCTTAATACCCGATCTCTATTGAGTTGACTTTATAAGTTGACCCTTCTTCTCGCAGCCCAATCTCCACTTGTGTTGACTTTATTTGTTGAATCTTCTTCTTACAACCCAGTCTCCACCAGCGTTCACTTTATTGGTTGGCCCTTGGCGCTAATGACTAGAGAGAGAATAAAAAATGGTGAAGTAATCACCTTCGAGCCTTTTTATATGGCCCTCCCTTCAAGTAGATTCATTGACTATTTAGGGTTGACCCAGTAAGGCCAAAGTAAGGAGAAAAATCTGAGAGGGATCCACAAGAGGATATGAAGAATAGAGAAAGAGGAAATATTTTTTACCTTATTTTAATAAATTTGCTTACGACCCAACCTCCACCCATGTTGACTTTACATGTTGACCCTACTTCTCACGACCCACATTCCACCTATGTTGACTTGACACGTTGACCCACCCTTGGCACTAACGACTGAAAAGAGAAAAAAATGGTGAAGTAATTACCTTCAAACACAGTCTTAACTAATTTCTTGGGAGATGCAAGAGTGAAGCTATTTCTTTGAAGGTAGATTTCACCAAGTCTGCTCTTGAGAAGTCAATCCAAGGAAGGAAGGAAGGAGCGTTGACTCTGGGAGATATTGCCACAGGAGAACAAACCACATCACGTGGTCCATAGAATTCTGAGGAGTCCTACAAGAAGAGCTCTGGCACAATTAGATAGAAACATCTAAAGTCAAAATCCATGAGAGAGATCCCTTTCTAAGACCCTAAAAACGAAGGGCCTCTCATGAATGGGCTTTCAGGCCATCGGAGCCATGGAAGCCCCAGGCTGGAGACAATGATCTGTGGGGTTCTGAGGAATGCCTGGAGCCGGCTGAAGGTGATGATCACTGGAACCATGGGAGCCCTGGCTGTGAGCACTGGTTTGCCCCAGAGACGGGAACGATGGGCCCAAGAAATATCCGCCAGAGGTCGAGGATGATGGTGACGAGCATGGCGGCGCCGAGTGCGTCAACGGCCACCCTCCCAAGCTCCCACGGATCGCCAGGTTTCTCATCTACCCTGGAGACAACACAGAGAGAGAGACACAGAGAGAGAGAGAGAGAGAGAGAGAGATGTCAGATATTGCGGTAGAGGGATATCAGTGGACATTCTATTAATGGGAACCATGAAAAAGGCTGTAAAATGGAAAGTCTCCTATCAATAATCACCAGTTTAAGCAGGGCTCGGGCTATTTTTTAGTTTTTGGGCTTGGTTTTAAGGCCAAATGGGAAAGAAATACGCTGGATGATGCACTGCATAGGATATAATGGCAAGGAATGAAGCGATCTTGGATTGAGACTTCTTACCTCAAGAACATGGGGAAGCTGACGATAAAATAAATAGCATAGAACAACGACCCCACTTTGTACATTGATGCCCGATCAACAAACTGATAATAAGGAAACTGCAAATCCAAGAAAAGGGTTGAGTTATGTCACACTCTTCTACCATAGAGAGGTCTCCCAACCGAAAAATCAGACATCATCGAAGTGATGATAGTCAACTATGAGACATGTTGCCCAGATTCATGTCTGCGGAAGTAAATTTTGAACTAAGAATGGGATTAGACATAAGTAATCAGCAAGATGATACCAGTGAGTCTGTACTTACATTGGAAATCGCTATAGTTTCCAAGTATGCAATGAAGTATGCGAGGGCCAGGACCCATGCCCCCTCTGCTGCCACTTGGATCGTCTGTGGCAAGTCAGCGATAGAATGGCGCAGTCTACGGAGAGTCAGATTTGATGCAACGTGGTAAAACTGGAAGCAAACGTGGGTGAGCAGGAAAGTTGTGTGTGGCACCTGGATCAGATGAGATCACCATGATAAGTTATTTGAAAAGATTAAAAAGGAAACATTGAACCGATGATTGATCTACTAAGAACAATAAGAACACCACAGCAAACTTGTTTACATGAACTTTGATCAAATATAAGAGCTAAGCAGGGTTGTCTCTTAGTCAAATTTAACGGGATAGGGAATGTTGGTGAAGAAAAAAATTTAAACAGAAGAATATTGATGAAATAATTTCGATCAAACAACTCAAATCCATAACAAACGCAACTGATCGCAATTCCTGTTGACTTACATCGTTCATTTTCCATGATGGAAACGTGTAGGATGCTCCAAGAACTTTAAAAAAATAGTGAGTCCAGAAGTAGTTCCCAACATAGCTAAAGATCACAATCCAGAGGTTTGCCTGCAAAGAGAATTGATCACTTAAAAGCATGATGAAAATTTTGTTCTGATATCATAAGAAGAGTATTCAATCTGATGGAATAGTATTTGAAATGAAAAAGGAAAGTCACCCAAAGAAAGGGCCTATCCATAAATTCTGATGTGGTATCAACAAAGAAAAGATCTTCACATCACATCCCCTTGCCAACCCTTGCACGGATATTACAGTGACCGAGCCCTAAAAGATGATTTAAATGCAGCAATTCATCGGCATCACGCACCCATCCACGAAGTGACACGATCACAGGCCTTATCATCCTTCTTTGGAGACAGGAGACCGAAAATCTTCTGCCCCCATGAATATATATGCACTTGTCGTTTGGAGCTAGGGCAAGATGATTCATGAACACACATGCTGTATTTGAGTTGATGGTGAAGTCTTCATGGTCTTTTCAGTGGGGAGGATTGATAATGAGAGACAATAGGATCCATACTTCTACCGGCAAAAACCCTAGATTAGCCAGCGTCAGTTTACATTTGTGACTGTCATCTTAACTCTGGTTCATGGCAGTACAAGGTTCTAATGTGGATAAAAACTCCTGTGAAATCATTCGATGTCGTAAATTAAATCAGTATTCAGGGAAAAAGATATTCCTAGCTATTATACATGAGAATGATGATTTGTTGCAGATGCATTAATCTTATCATATTTCGTTCTGCTCTATCGTTGAAGATGAGACCTAGTGGGGCAATCATCTAAAAGCATGAACTCAGTCACAGGATCAGGAGGAATATACTTGATTGGACCCAGCTGGACTCGGCTTTGATCACTTGATTAGGGCCAACCCCAGTCAAACCGAAGATTTTGAGCAAAATATTAAAAATTTAAGTAATAGGAAGATTAAATGGTAAAAATACATCGTGTGATTAAATCAATTTTACCACTGCTCTATAATCTGTGCAAATGGAAGATGGCTGCCAGGGAGAAATAGTAAAAGCGATTCCACCTGCAGTTTCTCACAGGATATTTGAGGGATTTACAATTGAAATCACCATAAGATGACTTTGACACTACTCGCATGGCCACCCCGTGACAATGGCCCCATGAGAGAAGAACATTTTAAGATCAGTAACTATAGTTCTAACAACATTGATAATGTTGCCTGTTAATGCTTCCCCAGTTTTAGAAAGTCAGACAACATTATTGCATCTCCAACAAGTGACTACAGTCATGCCAATCTTGAATCAATTCAGCAAAATCATTTTTTATGTAGTCCATTCACTAATTTGAATTTTATTTATTTATTTGAATGGTAGATAATGATGATCTAGATATTAACCTACTGGGGTCCAGGATATGGATTATTTTTCCACCATGTCCGTCACCTATGCTGAAGCTTGATTGTATCCCATTTTTGTATCACCACCTCCATTAACCTTTCTTTTCTCTATCCTCCCTACACTTCCTTAGAAAATCCTCAAGAAAATCTTTTATTTTCTCCTCGTATTATGACCACAGCATTCCCTTTGCATATACCCTCACATTCTCAAAATGGCTTATGCTACAACACTATATTCATACAAAATGCCAGTTTGATCAACATTTTATAATTTTCTCTTTAATCAAGTGGGAATAGGATGTAATGATGAAAAAATAATTTTCAGATTCATTGTAAACGGTTATAATCCTATGCAGCACATCTTCGTTTTCTCTCCCTCTATTTCTGTCACAGAGCCTACATGCTTGAACTGATTTTAAAATAATTCATAAACATTCAACCAAAAATTCATAATTGACTGCCATGCCCAACAGATTGAAGATTCAGGCATGATGAAATGAAAATAGCCTTTAAAGAAAGCATCTCTTCCAAAATTCCAAATGAAATTTCAGAAGATAAAAGAGCTTACCTTTACCCAATATCGATCCTTCCAGCATTTACCCTTATCTGCCTGTAACAAGGAATAGAGGCAGGCAAAATCTCAGACTGAGTAAACATGACAGGCAATCAGCACTCAGAGAGGAATTCAACCAGTTGACTTCCTTACTATGAAATCACATGCATGATGCATTCAGGGTCCGGACTTAGAGGAAATTTTAAAATAGGAATGGTGGACAGAACGTATAAAAATGATTCTGCATCAGAGACCTGAGAAAACTAAATGGTAGAGATCCAATGCAGATATGACTTAGGCAATAGGTAGTACAAAAATGCATTACATATAGAAAAGAGAAGAACATATAATAGACAGATGAGATTTCAACGAATTGGAGCCCAATGCACAGATCTCAAGTGGTCTATGCCAACATGGAATAAAGAAAGTTAAATCCCCAATCCGGTCACAATTGAAGAACTAAGAACCCTAATTGCAAAATCTCAATCTCACTGTCTCACTTTAGAGCAAATAGAAATCAAAAGTTTCTCTACTGAACAGCTTTAACACAAAAATCAGGGTGTTCCTACATTCCAAATTGTGCCAAGGATCAAAACGCAGATATTGCATTTACCTAGAATTAAATTATGCATATCATAAAACGTAATTCAGAATAACAGTTGCAGTAGAATCTTAGCAGTCATTAGAAAACGAAATATTTTAGCAGTCAAAGAAAAATTGAAACTTTCCAAGATACTAATTTCATCAATCAGATATGCTTCCAGTTTTCTTGGTGAACAAGCTCAAGAATACAACTTTCACACAGTGCGGACAAAGCCTGGCGATTTCAAGCATGGTTTTCTAGGATGGTGTAACTCCATCGGACTTGTACAGATTTGATCCATTTTTCAAAGCTTTGATTCCCAGGACACATCAGGAAGACCTGGGGGAAAATTACCTAAGAAAATTTTAACTATAAAGTTATATGTGTTAAGTTGGCCAAAGTCAAGTCAAGAACAAGTCACCATAATCCGGTCTGGTTCTCCCTCTTTCTAAATCTCTGGACGATAGAGTCAGCCAGCCTTGCTCTAGAATGTTTATCTTAATGGAAAACATAAACTTTAAAAAAATCAATTGCCGCAAAAAGAAACAATCATTAATTTAGTGCTCACCTCGCCAACAAATATAAGGGGCAATACAAATGATGGGACTGCAGAGACCATTCCAAGAAGCAAATATTCCAACTCGGTGAACCTCTGCCATCATAAATAATGGTTATCAGAAATATGATTACAGGAAGAAGCATAATCAATGTAAGACTCAAAGGTATATTAGCAAATTATCTGTCTTTCTTCTATTTACGTTAATATTTATCTAAATAAATAAGTCACAAAAAACACCCTTAAGTTTCAAAAAAGTGAACATGAACAAGCCACTTCAATATCCAGGTTAAGCACGTCGATTCTACCCTACGAATTATCTGGATGAAAAAGTTCCCAGATAAATAAGCTTAAATAATCGCGAAAACATAACCAACTACATGAAGGTATACAAATAATTATGAAATATAGAATCATTTTCTGACATGGAAATGTGCCAGAATAGGACTCCAAACGTCAATATGTCAACTCGTGGTGAATCATAAATGGTAATAACACTACAGGGAATGACTAAAAAACAGAAGAAGGAAGTCCGCTCCTGTGTTTCGGGGGTGTTCAGGAAACACTACATGAAGTCTGTGGCCTCACCTCATAGAGCCTGTAGGGGACGACGATCCCCAGGCAGAGAGTGAGCCAGAAGGGAGTGTAGATCATGAAAAACCCCTCCCCCCATCTCTTGCTCGGATTAGTCGCAAACCACAGACTGACACGGCCATCCCTGCCAGAACCAACAGCGTCGCCACTCGCCTCTCTCTTTCCGCCGCCAGCAGCTGCACAGGAGATAGATAATGGACACCGCCCCGGTGACAAGTCAGCGACATGCCAGAGAAAACCTACCAGAAGAAGAGCAGAAAGAAGGGAATCCAGCAGCAAGCGCCATCTTACCGCCCATGCCTTCCCCCCGCTTCCAATCCGGTTCTTCCTGAGACTGGATGGAGGCCGACGAAGACCACTTCAGTGGAAACCCAGCTCGTTTTGTTTCCGGCCCAAAACGGGCCAAGGGCCGGATGCTTAAATAAGCCCGGCTCGGATTGTGCGCTCCCTCCCGCATGCACATAAAACGGAGGAAGAAGGGGTCCCCAGGTTTTTGGGGCCGGGGAGGGCCATTGGCCCTTTCGGGCCTCGAACTGGTGGGCCAGGACCCGTTTGCGCAGGTCATGTGCCAACTAGAAAAATATAACTATAATAGCTGGCGGGTGTCGCGAGGCCTACGCCTTGAGATCTGTCGACCGTTAATTAGTACCGTACAAAAAGGATAGGATTCTCCCTCGGGAAGGGAAAAGCGTGATATTTGTTGCTGGCTGTGGGGTTCGAACCCACGCGCACTTCAGTGCAGAAGATCTTAAGTCTTCCCCCTTAACCACTCGGGCAAACCAGCTACGCGAGTTATCATTTTCTTATTCCCACGGTGAACAAATAGAACGCGTGGGCCACACTCCAGTCGTACTCCATTCTACCCATTGAGTAGGGGACATAAGTCACCATGTCTCCTGCTTTAACTTTTTTTTAATTCTTAACTTTTAATTTTTCCTTTAAATAAAATTAAGTTGTAAAGTTATCCATTTTAATATATGAAAAATAAATGTATTTTTATCAGTTTTGAAATCCGTTAGGTATGATGAGCAAATGCAACTATATGGGTGAGAAAATTGATGAAGATAAATATTAATGTGATATTGTAGAAGAACTTACTAGGAGTGGACAACCTATGATTGATATTTTGAGTCAATTCTATAATATCGCTCATATTTCATCACCTCAAAATTATTTCCTTTCGTGGATAAATGTGATTTTTATGCATTTGAAAATATTTTTAGAAAATATTTAATCAACCAAAGCTATAACATGCTTGTGGCAGGAGGGGGTGTGAGAAAATGGTGTAGTGTCTAGTAGAATTTGATTCCAAGACAAATTTTATTTGGTAAGAAGACCCTATAACGCTTTGATGATTTTAGGATCTTCCCTTGGATATATTTTATGTTCTCTCAAGAATCATTAAATAAATGAATAAATGAATGAATGAATGAAATTTCATAAGAGCCATGTCAATGCTTAGCCTATGAGTGATACCATAAACTCAAGGAAATAATATGTAATTAAAAAAAAAAGGTGAACAGTTAAAATAATATGAAGCTGTTTTTAAAAAATATTTAAATTTATTTAATATACATAATTATGAAATTTTCAAGTATAGAAAAAATGTGGTTAACGAACCTATTAGATTATTCTCCAAATCCACGATTAGGGTTTTATTTTCCAATTATTTATCATCATAAAAAAGATAAATATACTATTATTATTATTGAAATATATCCAAAGGATTATATAAATCCAAAAAGGAAAACAACCATTTTATGTGATTCCAAATCCTTTGTACATAGTGGAATGGATTATGATGGAAGCCAGAATACATGCCTTCACTTTTGAAAAATTTGAAATATATATAGTGCCTTCATTTTGAAAATAAAATAAAATAATAAAGTATTATGTCAATCTCAAAATGCTTGCGTAATGCTTGTTAGAATGGCTATGGTTTGTCATTGGTGATTGTTTTATAATCATTCTATGCTTAAAAAATGTTCAAAAAATATTATCTGAATAGATGACAAATAGCATGCATTACTAACCATTAGAATATAATTTTCACATCTTGAAATGGAAGATTCTTTTACAAGGTGGAATTGGATCAAAATATTTCAACTTCCACATTAAACACTGACTCAAAGAAGCTTTAAATTAGATGTTGTAAGCTATAATTTTCTAAAATTTTATAACAAGTTAGTTGTGATAGAAGTCTCAAGTCAACATATGACTATCAATGCAAAAAATTAGTGTCAAAACATACTTGTACCAACATGAATACAAAAGAGGGGAACAAACACAATAATATTCATCTAATTTTACAAATTATATTTCTATTAAACTTAGGGGTGAGGTCTTTAGATACATTGATTAAGGGTCAATTTATGACTGTACTTATTGGTGATCTAGTACTAAAGTTAAAATATAATGGATATTGAAAGAATAGACCAACAAATCCCCATCTTTTTTATTGTGATATCCTCAAGAAAACATAGTAAACAATATGATGGTATCAATATGGTCACACTTGCCACAAAGACGGGGGTAAATTAGTAATAAAAGTTATAAAGCTTAAATCACTCTAAAAATTAATCACTATAGCTTGACTTTGTCCTTCAACTACCTGATATAATCACAACATGCAGAGTTCAGTCAAGTCATGCTCAAACTCTATACAATCAACATAATAAAATTTATAATAATTCAATCTCAAACCTGCATTAATTTTGGAATGATTTGTCTTTGAGTTCCACTACGATATATTCTTCATTGTAAGTACAAATTGAAGATTGACTCTACATGTCATAAACCATATGAAATAATAGAAAGTTATAGGTTCTTGTGGCTCTTTGGCTCACCTTCTAAGGCTTAATGAGCAAAAATGCGAGAGATTAAAGGTCTCCACTTCCTCTAACTTTGCTAGTTATAGAAAATAAATCAAGTTTTTTGGATACCAAGGGTTCCAATAGCCCTTGTTAAAGTTGTGGTGTTAGCTACTTAGTTTGGGACGAGAATTACATACCTCACTTGTCCTATGTTCTTAAAATGCCCTATCTTTGAATCTCACACTTTTTCTTTGTTTGAAATCAATTGAGAGAAGATTGGGAAGTTCTAAATGTACTGTAGAGCTATTGAGGATGTCAATATGTTGATTTTATGTTGTTTCTTGTGTTAGCAACATGGGAGATTGATGGTCTTACTATATGTAGGCTTGGAGGTGCTTCAGTGGAGAGGAAGTCTCATAATCATGTCCCTACCCTAATCTAAGCAGAAGATAAATTTTTATAGATGTTATTGGGCTGACTATTGGTCATTCTGATGGCTAATGTCAGCCCATAAACCAATACATCTGTCTCATTATAAAATCCATGTATTAAAATATTAAATAAAATACACAAGAGACATAAATATTTATAAAATTTGAATAAAATCTATTATGAATATTTGAGACATTTTAACTGTCTTATATTAGTTTCTATAAATTATTAAAATATAAAATTTATTTTATAAAAATATTTATATAAAATTTGATCTCTAAAATCTATTTTCTCATTACCCCTAATTTTCTAGACAACATTTATGAGATAAAACATAAATATTACAAATCTCCTAGAAAATAAGATATTGTTACAAAACATTCAAAACAACCTAAAAATAAGATGTTAATAAAGTAATAATTTTGATGTGTTATTCATGTGTTTTATTTGTGCCTAATCTATTTTTGGGCCTTCTTCAGACACTTTGATCTTCATAGCCCATACATTTACATTTCAAGAAAACTTTTCCTATAATTTTTTGGGCTTTCTTTGGTTACGGATATTGCTATACACCGCTTACTTTTTGGGCCTTCAAACATTTGTAGTCAATGTTTTTAAACCACTTGAGTCAAAAAAAAAAACTCACTTGTCTTTTTTAAAAGTGATGTACTACATCAATTACTAATATTTCAAGATGACTCAAAACCCTTTTGTCATCATCAAAATTAGTTGAGTAATAACCCAACATAGGAAGAGGTAGCCTTATTAGGAGCTGTTAATGATACTATTGATAAAAATAGTAATTATAATTTGAAAGTTGTTGAGATATTAGTTATCAATTGTGAAATTGTCAGTGAGCATGGATTAGATAACAATTGCACTGCATCCTTTTTCTAATTATTATAATTTAGTATTAAATTTTCACACTAGATTCCTAACTCCATGAGACTAATATCAAATCTGAAGATTATCACATAATAAAACCTTATATAATTTATTTTTTCTTATTGTGATGACTCTCATTTAATTCTTCTCACACATCCAATATAGCAATACTTCTAAAAAAAAGTCAAAATGGACTCTTTTGTAAATAAAATTTAATCAGGCATCATTAATAATACCTATGAAATATCTGGATAAAATACCCAAAGTACATAGCCAATTTGATCAACGAGAGGCCTAAGTCCAAATTTGATCATATGTACACCAACATTTGTGCAGTTATTATCCACCACTGAGTGATAAGTAATGAAGGATTATACCTCACTAGTTTGACGAGGAAAAACGTTTGAACGGCGATTAGTTCCTCACATAGTATATTATTTGAATAATGTACTTAACTTCAGTTGAATATCTGCTTGGTTGTACAGGGGATATTTTAAATAAAGCCCTCGTGGACAAAAATACTACGTTAAAGCTCGCGGTCGGTTGGCCTGGTCCCCGTGCGCAGGACGTAGTAATGGGGCTGTCGGTAGCCACACACCGAGGCCCACACGTGAAACGCACGCTCCAGTCTTTCGTACTGCTTTGCGCGAGAATCGCGCCTCGTCCACGTGACCAAATCGAGCTTTTAAGAGAAGGCTTGTACGCAGCGCGCTGTTGACTGTATGTACGTCTAAACTGGCGGGGTACTTTCGAAACAAGTCAAAGAATGAGGGTATTTTAGGTATTATCCCCATATGAGGGCGGGAACCGTTCCGGGGGAGCGGGCAGGCAATTCGAAAAGAGCTAGGGCCCACTTCTAATTTTTAACCGCTCAAGGATTCGTTAGTTTCCTGATCGAACGGTCGAGATGCGGCGCTGATCTAGATGCATGAGGGCCGTCCAATCTGGCTGAGGGCAGAGGAGAGATTATGTTGTCCCGCGGGGCAGGGGAAACCAGTTGCCGACAAACAAGTGGTCGGCCGTTTGTCGGTTCGTGAAGCGGGGGGAGTAAACCGGGAGAAGGGCCCCCCCCCAGACGGGAGACGAGCTCGCCTATTACACCCTTCAAATCTCACATACTCTCACTTACACCACTGAGTTTCTAGTATTTTTGTATATACTTCAAACTTGATTTAGAGCTTTGACTCAAAATTTGTGGGTAAAATCGACACGTGGAGCAGTAACAGGCGTCCAGTCATTTTGATAGATCACACCCGTCGAATATGCGGACAAATGAGATTGACACGTGTGGCCAATAGGTTCACAGACAGATCTACGCCACAGTTTACCGTACGTTTTGTACTTTAGTCCTTCTTAAATTGGGGAAATGGATTATGAAACCTTTTATAAATTTAACCTCCTGGGAACTGTAGAATCCGCCTTTTATCTCCTCTCCCCCCCCTCTCTCCCTCTCCCTCCCCCCTGCACCTCTCGATCGATCGCCTACATAGCGGAGCTGCTCCGTCGCGGTTGAAAGCTTGAATGGAAACCCTAGAAAGCATTGGCAGAGTCTGAGGGATCGGGCCGTTGTCGGAGAGGCTCGTGTTGTGAGCGTAGTCAATGCCTAATAAGGATGATGTAGCGCTGGATTTCGTCCATAACCACGGGATGTCATCCCCTGAGAAATCGACCTCCATCTTTGGGGTTGGTTGCTTGGATCCTATTGCTTTGTATTTATCCTTTTTTTTCAATGAGTTGGAAGACTTTCGGGCTGTCTGTAGTAGAAGACCTGTTCGATTTTGTCTACTGTAGCTGCGGCAACCGAAATTCTGCTGGATTTTAGTTCACTTTCTCGCTTTTTTGGATTTCTTCCTGAATGTCTCACTTTCCCGGTGAGAACGGAAGATAATCGTTATTGGATAGTGCCAGTTCCAGTAATTTTCCTTAAGATCTAGTTGAATGTTTCTCCGCAGCTTTCTTTTTTTTGTACTTATTATTTCGTGAAAATCTCATACGGTGGTAGCGTCTGTGTTTCTCTTTCAATGAGTTGATGCCAAATCCTTGTCTGTGCGTTCTGTACTTGTCAGTCGCGAACTAAACGTTTGATAATTATCTATTTGACGTTGCTTTTTGTCTCACTGATTAATGATGGAGAGAATCAAGCTTTTTATCTCCTTTTTCTCCGTTATATCTTCATTTCAACTGTTGTTGGTTTCACTAATAATTCTTTTCCATGACAGGTATGTAGTTTGTGTAAGTATTAAAGTGGGTCGAATGGTTTACCGAAACATGGACTCATCTGAAAATGAAGAAAATATGTTCATTGTTGGCGATGCCAAGGTATTCGAATTGCACCAACTGAAAGTTCAACATAAATTGTTTTATTTGCCATGCTCTTTCCTTTTCATTAAAAAATCGTAATCACGGCGGAGGAAGGTCCTGTTCTGGCTACTTATAGAAACATGTATATTGAGATACTTTTATCTTCTATCTGGCATCTGGCCATTTGAATTGTTGAACATGCTGAAGTTCATTCGTGTTTGATATTCTATAATTAAAGCACAGATTTATGCGAATTTATATATATGTACATATTTGATTGATATTCCTTCTTTTTATTATATTGCATTCTTCTGGCAGAGTTCCCAAATTCTTTGAAAACCTATGAAAAAGAGAATAACAATCTTCGTATTTCCAAATCATTTATGAAGTCGCTTAAAATTATCAGTGTCGTGCAACTAGAAAAGTGGATATTTTATTTTATTTTTGGGTTGTGATGCTTTGTTGTCTTTATAGTGTACCAGATAGCATGCACATTTCTGCTCCCCGTGGATGGCCGTCACCTTCATACAATTTCCACAGCACTACTCTTTACATTCAGCACAGCTCTGACAGACCGGAAAACTCGTTAATTGGATCCATATAATAAAAAAAAGTTATTTTGATGTGCAGTTACATGGAGGGATGTGTAAGGCTCTTTCTTCAATTGTTTGCAAAGTGCTGGAAATATTTCCAGCCATAGAGGCGGAACGACCAAGAAGTAAATCTGGCATCCAGGCTCTATGTTCTTTGCATGTGGCTATTGACAAAGCCAAGAATCTGCTTCGTCACTGCTCTGAATCGAGTAAACTTTACTTGGTAATTGTATTTCACTTTTAGAAAGATAATGAAGATTCGTTTTTACCTGATTCTGAGTAAATTGTCGAGTCCCTTTTGGAAATGATTCATTGTGCCCATTGTAAAACGTAATTTCTTCTGCCGTTAGTCAAGTGACTGTCGCACCTGCTCATGGTGCATTTAATCTGTCTGTAACGACACTTAGCGGCCTTAGATAATATCAGCGAAAGTGGAAACCATTTTTAAGGAACTGCTGCCAGTTCCTGGGGCACAATTAAATATCACTGTGTTTGATGCCAGAGAGCCCATATTCTTTCTTGTCCTTATGGCAACTATTTATTTATATGATGAGTACTCGAGTGGCAATCCTTTTTCATTGTCATATTTATTCTTCAGGCCATCACAGGCGAATCAATTCTTCAAAAATTTGAAAAGGCAAAACATGCTCTTCTTGGAAGTCTCAGGGGCGTTGAAGACATTATGCCGGAATCTATTGGCTTCCAGGTATCTTTCCCCATATGTCCTGTCAACATTACTGGGGATGGTATCTCTGAACTGACCTGTTGATTTGAGTCATTTATGCATTGATGTCTTCCAACCTAGCCTTCTTGATTGCTGTTGTAGACGGCCCATTTTAATCATTTCTCTTCTCTGTCCTACCGCTGGTTTATTTTCTGTTCTGTTGATTTCAACATTTATGCATTGAAGTTTTCCAATTTGGCCTTCTCGATTGCAGTTATGAACAGCCCATGTAAAGAACTTGTCTTATATTTCCTGTTCTGTTACTGGATTCTCTTGCATATCTCCTCTCAAATTTCAACGACGGCTGTTCTGAATTTTAATTGCTTAGAGGGAAGTAAAGTAAAAAGCTTTCATCGGCATCCATTATAAGTAGAATCATTAATTACGCACTTAGTTTCTTCACTATATTACTGGTTTATTTTTTAGGGAATCGTTCATATTTAACTTATTCTGGTTCGTTAATGGAAAATTCCCATTCAATACTTTTTTCGCACTTACTCATATTCTTTCTTCATCGACTCGACTCTCATGAACCTTCCTGGTGCAGATCATGGAGATTGTGAATGAGCTGGAGCAGACTGTGTTTGCATTAGATCACTCAGAAAAGAATGTTGGCGAGGTTGTGATCCAGTTGCTTCAGAAGGAGAGAAAACTCAACAGCAACTCCAACGACACTGTGGAGCTTGAAATCTTTCACCAAGCTGCTACGAAACTGGGGATCATATCCTCAAAGGCTGCTCTCACAGAGCGACGGGCCCTCAAGAAGCTCATTGAGAGAGCGCGAGCTGAGGAGGACTGGCGGAAAGAATCCATTGTGTTGTACATACTGCACTTAATGAGGAAATACTCGAAGCTCTTCAGAAGTGAGTTGTCAGATGACACCGACTCCCAAGGCTCAGCTCCATGCTCTCCCACCGTGCTCAGCAGCTTTGAAGAATGCTCTGTTCTCAGTGCAAATGGGCAGGCTTTTGAGAGACAGCTAGCGAAGATCAGCTCGTTCAGCCTGAAGCCAAGTAGCAGAAAATCCGGCGGCATGCCTGTGCCGCCAGAGGAGCTCCACTGCCCAATATCCCTGCAGATCATGTATGATCCGGTCATCATCTCCTCTGGGCAGACCTATGAGCGGGCCTGCATTGAGAAATGGCTTAACGAGGGCCACAGAACCTGCCCGAAGACTCAGCAGCAGCTCTCTCATCTCTGCCTGACTCCAAACTACTGTGTGAAGGGCTTGATCGCCAACTGGTGCGAGCAGAATGGGATCGCCATCCCTGAGGCCCCCCCCGATCCTGTTGAGCTGACTTATTGGCGGCTGGCCCTGTCAGAGTGTGAGGCCACAGACTCCCGCTCCGTGGGGAGCATTGACTCTTGCAAGCTGAACGACGTGAAGGTGGTGCCTCCGGCGAACAATGGCGGGGAAAACCTGAGCGGCGGCTGTTGCCCTGAATATGAGACGGACGAGCTGCAGAGATTGGAAAACCTGCTATCAGCTCTCTGCGAAGGGGATGACTTGGGGAAGAAGTGCAGGGTGGTGGAGGAGATAAGGTTCATCCTCAAGGATGATGAGGAGGCGAGGATTTACATGGGCGGCAATGGGTTTGTGGAGGCTCTGGTTCAGTTCCTTGCGCTGGCGATCAGTGAAGGAGATGGGGCTTGCCAGGATGTTGGGGCCATGGCTCTCTTCAATCTCGCCGTCAACAACAACAGGTGAAGTCTCTTTCCTTTCTTTCTCTGTTTCTTATTTCTCTCTTCTTTTCAATCTGCCTGGGCTCATGGGGGGACGGCAAGTGGGCAGCCTGGAGGAGGGAGCGTTGACCTTCTGGGCGCTGCTCCTAGTTTCCCTTTTAGGATCTGTTGGGCCCATTGACCAGCTCATCAAGAACACCTCGCTGTCATTTCGTCCGATTTGTAATCGTTGTGTTCTCCGGTTTTCAACTGAAGCAAGAGAAAATCCTTAATATTTTTATTATTCTTTTTATTTATATTAATGCTCACTCTTGGCAATGTTCTTAGCATGCAACCCTTCCATATCATGTAGAAAAAAACTCTGCGAATGAAATACCAAAGAAGCCTGGCAATGAATCTAACAATGCCTTAGCGCATATGGGCATCGCTTGATCAAAGGATTGATTGCTGAAAATCTCATGTTGTTCGGTAAAAATGGGTTTTTTGGCTCGCAATAAAGCCAGCATCCTCATCGAGCAAGGCATAGTCCCATCTATCTACCTCTCCAGACAATATCTTGAGTATCTGTGATGGTGATTTTTGTTAGTACATCGATATGATCTCAAATGTGGGCACATTCTTCTCATGGGGATCTTCCGATCTGATCTCAATCGCATTTGGGTTGACTGCATCTTCCTCCTCCTGATTTCCTCATTTGGGTGGTTGTCGCAGGAACAAGGGGTTGATCTTGTCTGGGGGGATCATCCCACTGCTGGAGGAGATGATGCAGAATTCCTCCTACGAGGCGGCGACGGCCCTCTTCCTCAACCTCTCCTGTCTCGACGAGGCCAAGCCGGCCATTGGCGCCAGCGCCGCCGTGCCGCAGCTGGTGAAGCTCCTGCACGCCGCCCACGCCGGCGCACAGTGCAAGGCCGACGCCCTCCACGCGCTGTACAACCTCTCCGGCCACCCGCCGAATGCCGCCGGGCTGATCGCAGCGGGCATCGTGGAGGCCCTCCATGCCGCCGTGGCGGGGCCGCCAGAGCCGGAGGGGAGCACCTGGGTGGAGAAGTCGGTCGCGATCTTCACCAATTTGGGCTCATCGCCGGGGGGGAAGAAGGAAATTGTGGCGGCGCCGGGGCTGATTGGCGCGCTGGCGGCGCTGCTGGACATGGGGGAGGCTGCCGAGCAGGAGCAGGCGGTGGCGTGCCTCTTGGTGCTCTGCGATGGCGACGATTGCTGCAGCCACCTGGTGCTACAGGAGGGAGTGATCCCTGCGCTGGTGTCCCTGTCGGTGAACGGCACGTCGCGGGCCAGGGAGAAGGCGCAGAGCCTACTCACGGCCTTCAGGGAGCAGCGGCAGCGAGTGGCGCCGAATTGCGGGGAGGGCAGCAGCGGTGGGGGAGCTGCCGGGGCGGCGGCGGCGGCGGGGGTGGGGGAGGGAGGAGGTGGAGAGGGGAAGCCGCTGTGCAAGTCCAAGTCGAAGAAGCTGGGGAGGACGTTGAGCTCCATGTGGAAGAACAAAAACTTCTCAGTGTACCAGTGCTAAGGCGGGGGCCTCACTGCCCCGTGTAAAGTTTCTCGCTAGATAGGTTATTATTCTTGGCTCCTCCTAATGGCTTCGCTTTTTATGTGCCCAGCATACGAGACGACGTATGGAGAGAGAGAGAGAGCGAATGGGCACAAATAATTGGACTAAATATAAAGAGAGGGGTAGTCAAGGATATGCCACAACCCATCTGTGCCATGCTCTATACTTTTTAACCCCTGAAATATGAGAAAATATATACAAATTTTAATTTCCTGACAAGTATAACCAGAGAATAGCCCCACCTGGTGGGTCGTATCCTGTAGTACAGGTCGACCAGCTATATAGCTTAATGGGCCCTTGCGATATGTTCTTAATAGGCTCTCAGAATTCCAAGCCCGACCGGACCGCCTCGACCGAACCGGACCGGACCGGCTGACAGTATCTGCGGAAGGAATCAGCTCGGCGGGAAGCCACCGGAAAAGCCGCCCTTCCTCAATCCAAAACCCTAGCCCTGTCTTTCCTCACCCCCCTTCCTCTCTCTCTCTCTAAAATGGAACGAGCAAGGGTTCCGCGGAGTCGCTGGGGAGTCCCCTCGCTCCTCCACCTCTGGATCGTCGTCGCCGTCGTCGTCCTCCGCCTCCCACAGCCGGCGGCGGCGGCGGAGCTCGACTCCGGGGACACAGAAGCCCTCCTCCAGCTCCGCTCCCTTCTGGTAGACCCCGGCGGCGCCCTCACCACCTGGACCGGCGGCGGCGGCGGCGCCTCCTCCGCTGTCTGCACCAACTGGACCGGAATCTCTTGCAGGAACGACGTTAGAGTACGAGTGGTGGGAATAGACCTCGCAGGCTTCAACCTCTCGGGAACCATCCACCGGGGGATCTGCCGGCTCTCCCTGCTGGAAACCCTCGTTCTCTCCGGCAACTCCCTCGCCGGAGCAATCCCCTCCTGCTTCGGCGAGCTCTCCGCCCTCCGGCGACTGGACTTGGCGGGGAACCACTTCTCCGGCGAGCTCCCGCCGGAGCTCGCCGGGCTCCGGCACCTCCGCGAGCTCGTCGTCTCCGGCAACCCCGCCCTCGGCGGCCGCCTCCCGGACTGGATCGCCAACTTCTCCCTGCTTAGGAAGCTCGACCTCTCCTCCGATTCCTTCCAGGGATCCATCCCCGAGGGCTTCTTCAAGCTCCGGTCCCTGCGGCATCTGGATCTCTCCGACAACAAGCTCATTGGCGAGCTGTCGGACTTCGACTCCTCGCTGGTGGCGCTCCGCCTGGCGGGGAACAACTTCTCCGGCACGGTCCCCTGCTTCTCCGCCTCCAATGGAACTCTGAAGGTCCTCGATCTGTCCTGCAACTCCCTCGCTGGAGGGATCCCCACCTGCCTCTCCCATCTCCGGCGACTGGCAGAGCTCAACCTCTCCGGCAATGGCCTGCAGTACGGCCTCTCCCCGAGGCTCGTCTTCTCGCCGGAGTTGAAGGCGCTGGATCTCAGCTCCAACGAGCTCTCCGGCCACATCCCCGGGAAGATTGCCGGAGGATCCTCTGCGCTGCTGCTGCTGGATCTATCCAGGAACCGTTTCTCCGGCGAGATCTCCGGGGAGATCGCAGGTCTGAGGAGCCTCCTGGGGCTGTTCCTCTCAAGCAACCTGCTCTCCGGCGAGATCCCCCCCGCCATTGGGAACCTCACGTACCTGCAAGTGCTGGATCTCTCCCACAACACCCTCTCCGGCGAGATCCCCCCCGGGATCGCCGCCTGCTTCCAGCTATGGCAGCTCAAGCTCGACCACAACAACTTCTCCGGCGAGCTCCCACCGGAGCTGGACGCGCTAGACAGCTTGAGGATCCTCGATCTAGCGGCGAACAGGTTCTCCGGCGAGATCCCGCTGCCGCTGGCGGGTTGCAGGTCGCTGGAGGTCGTCGATCTCCAATCCAACCAGCTCTCCGGAGAGCTCACCGGCGCCGTCGTCGTCAGGTGGCGGAGCCTCCGGTACCTTTCCCTCGCCGGAAACTTCTTCTCCGGCGAGATCCCCGACTGGATATTCTCCTTTCCGAATCTCCGCACTGTCGACCTCTCCGGCAACCGCTTCGCGGGCGCCATCCCCGATGGCGACTTCAACCTCAGCGAGCCCTTCAACGGCGAGCTCCATAGCAGCAGCAGCCCCAGCAGCGGTGGCGGCGAGGCGTACAGAGTCACGGCGACAGCGGTGGATCTCGCCGGAGGCGGCGAGGTGGAGCTGAGCTACGTGCTGCTGTCGCCGGCGGGGATCGACCTCTCCGGCAACGTTCTCCAGGGAGAGATCCCGGAGGGGTTGCTGGGGCTGCGGGGGATCCAGTTCCTGAACCTCTCGAACAACTTCCTCGTCGGAGAGATTCCGGCGGTGGGGGCGGCGGGAAAGATGCAGAGCCTTGTGGCGCTGGACCTCTCCCACAACAAGCTCTCCGGCGAGGTTCCGGCGAGGGAGATCTCTGCGCTGCCGCAGCTGAGGGAGCTGAACCTCTCCTTCAACTGCCTGACGGGGCCGGCGCCGGAGAAGAAGGTGATGGAGAGGTTCCCGGGGGCTTTCTCCGGCAACCCGGGGCTGTGTTTGGAGGTCTGTGGGAACTTACCGGCGGCGGCGGCGGGAGGCCTGCGGGGTGGCGGCGGCGCCGCCGGGGAGGGAGTCGTCTCCTTCTGGGCTTTCATCCTCAGCGCCGCCGTGAGCTCCTACATCTCCATGCTCGCCATGTGCTGCTCCCCACGCGCGCGGGCCTTCGTCTTCTACGCCTTCAAGGCGGGGACCTGAGCTCAGCTCCACCACCCCCTAGGAATCTTCTCCATTTCAGCGGCGCAGGATTTCGATCTCAAATGGGGAAACAGAAGATGAACAGAAGATCGAAGGAACTGCCCAAATGAGGAAACAGATGAAGAACAGAAGATCGAAAGAAGGCAAGTTCTTCGGGAATTCATCTGAATATCAAGGTTGTTCAATTCCGTGGGGTCTCTCGACATGAACAGGCTCGTCATCTTCGACACCATCTCCGCCGAAGAGCTCAGCTCGGACGCCCAGCAGGGACAGATCTTGCCGGAGAGAAGCTGCATCTCTGAAGAGCACGCCCTTCATGCCGGCATTAATGGCAGCCTCCACGTTTCCCATCCTGGAACCAGTTTGCACCACAATATCTTCAGATATGAAATATATAAGCGCGGAGGTATATAATCCCATCCCGACTCTCCTCTCAGAGTCCTGCCACGTGGCATCATATCGGGCCGGGCCGGGTTGCCCCGGGCGGGCTTCATATCTACATATGGCCCACTATAAAACACTCCAAGGTGTTTCATACCTGTCATCTATGAAGATACAGCATGCGGGATCGACCCGGAGGTGCCGAGAAGCCTCCATGTAGAACTCGGCGGCCGGCTTCCGTTTTCCTAACAATTATTTTCAATTGGACTTAGTTCATCTCGAATTATTAATAACTTAAGTGGAAAATGCCTGATTTTTCTCACTTTGGAAAATAATAAATGCGCGTAATTACCGGTGGTGCAAGAGCAGAATGTCCAGGACAAGTAGGTTGAGATCTTCAGCTTCTCTTCGATCATCGAGTACCTGTGGATTGGGTCGGATGTATTTTTTGAGATTAAAAAAAAAAAACCGATGATTAGGAGAAGGCAATTATGCGAAGAACGAATTATTATTATTATTTTTTAACCAAATGGGGTAGTTGGTGAATGCGTGCATCTCGTAGCTCCCGCTCTTCAGACTTCGAAGCAAATCTTCGATGCCATCAATGTATGAATATCCTCTCCTCATGCAATCTTTGAGACCTGAAGAAGAGACGCGAGTCAACGGGCAAGAAACATGGCGGCGCTTAAAAATGGTTGAATGAGTGTTTTAGCGAGAATTCCAAGCTGATATGATATTGTTCTGAAAAATATTTCTTTCCTAATTAAATAGGAGGCCTTCGATCTTTTCCAGTAATTCTTACCTTCTAAGTCAATGGGTCTCCCATCCTTGAAGAATCTCCTGGCTAGCTCTACCTGATGCCAAGAAAATATAATATAATTAACTTGATCGATCGAGAATATGAAAGGGACCGAAGGATAAGTGTTAGAGTGCTCCATAGAAGAACCATAACAAGCTGAGAAATTAGTCAACGGGGTTCCCTACATTTCTTGACCTATTCAAGGGGATCTGACTCTTGACTCCCACAAAGTGTCAATCTCAGTGTGGCTTGAAGAAATTTATCTCAAGGACAGTGGAAATCCTCTCTTCCAGTCCAAGGAATGGCCGGTAAAGATAGCGCCCATCATCCTTTCTCACTAAGTCAACGGAACATGTCAAATGCATCTCCGCATAATTTAATTAATGCTGATTTTCATAGCACGGATAGTAAAATGCCAGTCCACAGCGACATGTGTTAGAATGCAAAGTCTTTACAAAAATGAATCCGAAATAGAAGTAAATTGCAAGGAGATTATGGACTATCTTTTGAGACTATGATCAAATCCTCATTTAGGTTAATAATTAAGTCATTCCTAAAAAAGATCAAGCACTCAAAGCTCCAGCCTTTCCAAGTATCTTGGAAGTGTGTTTTGTTTGAAGCTTCTGACATAGAAGAACCATTTTTCTAGATCTGGCAGGTTGTTTCGAAGTTATTTATAACTGTACTTTGTTATTTGTGGTGTTAGAGCTCGCTGTCAAGTCAGGCTTAGCTCGTTGTTGTGATTGAGTTAACTTGAAGGTTGTATGACCCAGAAGAAATCTCAAGGCGGTCTTGGTGTGGAGTTGGTGTGGTGGTGGTGACCAGACTGCTTTTAAATTTCTGCGTGAGACTTACTTACCCAACTATTAAAATAAAACGATGAACAGACTTTTCGATTTCAGAAATACTGTTATTATTGTGGCAACTAGATTAAAACAGTTCGTATTTCTGATGAGAATAGGCAATGCTGTAGTCCTTCTCTAAGCCAATGCAGATTAACCCTCTGTTTCCCTTTTCAATTCTTCTGGAAATACCCAATTCCTTGGATTCTTCTCATCTCCAACGCCATTATTGGTCACAATAAGATATGATCCGTTCAATCATTTCTCGGTCAACGATCATTTCTCACCCTTCCAAGGCCTTCTCGACGAAGAGAAACAAAGTTTTAATTATCTTTTATTTATAAAATAATGCTTAATACAATTTGATTTTCCACCTATTTTCTCTTTGCATACACCCCCAGGAACCAGGGGATTCCAAACTACCCAAACTGGCTCTTTTCAGTTCTAACCATGAGAAAATTAACAGCAAATTCTGTTTAAAATATCTGACTATCATCGACAAAGTAACTATGAAATTATCTCATCTTTATTTCCATTTCTAAAAGGATTTCTAAAATGGGAGACCCATCAGTTGAGTGTCTTCTCTCCAGGCATCCATAGCGCAGATTAAGTTCATGACGAACATGGCTTCTGTATGAACAAGGTAGCATAACTTACGACCTATCCTTCCTCCTTTTCAGTAGAGTCCAGTGTTTCTCGTCAAAGCTTCATTAATATTGGTTCATTACAATATAGACTGGTGTGGCTTATGTTCTGGGTTTGATTTGGAAAACGAAAAATTTGTGGAGGGCAAAAGAGCTATGGAAAAATGTTCAAAGATCGGCAATAAAACTAAAAGAGGCAAGCCGGCTTTTGATTTCAAAAAGCCTTGGGCCTGGGTGATGCGGAAATCATTAAAGTGAAGCCCTCGTAAATTTATTCAATCCGCTTTGAAACTTAATCTCAACATTGTGTTCATTGGATGCGTTAATACTGTCTATCTATCTATCTATCTATCTATCTATCCATCCATCTATCTATCTATCTATCTATCTATCCATCCATCTATCTATCTATCTACCTATCTATAGATAGCTAGATAGGTATACACAAAGAAATAAAGAGATGTGGCTATAAAGTACACCAAGTACAAGAGATTAGTCTCAACACTTTCATTTTGGGCCCCTCTTCCTATCCTATGAAATCTCTTGGGAAAAATGGGTCCAAAACCAGCTGAACAAAGATCAATAAACCCATAGCTGAAGCAATCAACTTCATACAAGTTTGATAACATGACTGATACTTTTGTTGATAATCTTTGAGGAAGATCAGAGAAATGTGAACCCATATGCCAGGTGAGGCCAATCTCATGGATCTCAAACCCAAACCAAAAGTCAAATTAAATCGAAGCTATCTGATCTTGGAACCTTTTCGTTTGAAAGTCAACTCTCTCTTTGCCTCGCTACCATCCAATTCTTGCAGGATAATCAATGAATGCATATTTAACTCAAGCTATAAGAATTTCATTTTAAAAAAAATACAAAGTTAAAAGATACTGTCATACCTCATCAATCAGGCCCTTCTCAAAGTCCATCCATGAAGTTGGGTGTTTCTGTTCCAAAAGTTCTTTCATCGGCATCCTGCAAAGCGTTTAATCCAAGAAGAAAACTTGAGCTAAGATATTAGAATTTCCAAATTACTTTAGTTAATTATCAGGTGGTACACATGAAGCGCTACATAAGTAACATTTAAATGATCATAATCACTTTTTTCGTGGGGAATCTAAATGAAATTCCCCACAATTGAGGTTGATCTTGACTGATCATTGAGATCTGAAGATTGAATTGAAGCGATCGTTTCATAAATATTTTATATGATGATAGAAATGCTAATGGTTTTCCCTGTCTGTGACAGTCATCAGAACCAAGCGTCACTTCAGAAGTAAATAACACTTGAAAATTTCCCTTTTCAGAGAAAAGCTGAAATGAAAAAAAAGTCATAAAGGTATTCAATTCATCTGTTCCGGTCATGCTGTACCCACCGATCAGGTTAGGCTGAGAATGCAACGACATGGAAACACCTAGAAAGCATGATATTGTCCACGATAACTTGCCAGTTTAGGTTAAACGACAAATAGATACAGGATTCAACAGGGAGAGAATTTTTGTTGGAATAAAAAGAACGATAAATTCGCCATCTTCCCTTCCATATTTTAAAACGGGAGACAGATTGAGTCTGCAGACTCGTATCTATTCCATCTACATCAGGAATCGAATGGAAGAAATTTGCTCATAAGGCGCACCGAAATAAGCTGCGAGAGTTCCAGAGCGTCCGTTCGGACGGAAACACTCCGAATAACATGAATCCACCGACCACAATCAAAATAAGGAAATCGAGGACCAAACCTGAAGAAGGCGGGAACGTCCTCGTAGAACGGATCCCTAACGACGGTGTCCATGATGTCAAAAAGTAGCACCGGCAGCTTCCTGCCGGCCGGTGGCGAGGAGGAGCAGGCAGAAGGGGCGCCGGCCATGGCCGCCGGCCTCGCGTTCCGCTTCAGAGGAGAGAGGAATGCGACAGCAGGAGGAGGACGGGCGAGCAAGCCCATGACGGATATCCGAGACCAATCTGATTTAACAACTTGCATCATCAAATTGAGTAAACTAGTCGAACAGCGGCGAAAACCAACCGACGGATGAAAATCCGTGAGCAAATAAAGTCAACGTGCGAGTTCTTCGAAGAGTTCGTTAGTTTGACCTCCTCCCAAAGCACCTTGATTATCGCGCTACGCCTGGATTTGTCGACTTTCGGCTTCAAACCGTTCGAAGATTCTGGATAAGAATAGACAGCCAGTGGCGGCCGCTAAGCTTATCAAGGCAAGTTGGTCGCCCTATTTATTGACTCCGAATTCGAAAATAAATGGAAATCAATTTTGGATTAAAATACTGAACTATTTCAAGCCGTGCATATAGATAAACTCGATATGATTAATAAAATAAAATAATATAAATTGGGTATTTATATTTGATTTTTTTTATCGTATCAATGAGGACAAACGAAATCCATATCTCTCTCCCTCCCTATCTCTCTCTAGTGACGTGGCGCTTTCGAAGATATTAAAAATGTTATTTCTTAGAATGTAGGGTTATTTTGCATTAAAAAGAGAGCTCGGGTGTGTACGCGAAAAAAACAAGAAAAACGCCGTATCGTTCGTTCTACATATGGCTTCCCGCGAGTCTCTCTCTCTCTCTCTCTCTCTCTCTCTAGTTTGCCCGCGGAAATGAGGGCACCTGTTTGTGCCGGTAGGAACGAGGATGCTTGCGGACAACGGGGGAAGCATGTGGGGATTCCTCAATCATTGGAAGGAAGGAGAAGCGGGGATAAGGAGGGAAGCTGCGGCGGCTCAGGGGAAGTTTTCTGAGGGAACGATTGCTTGCAGTACCGTTCTGCGCGGCATGGCGATCGAGGAATTGGCTGCGGTTCCCCTTGGCCTCCTCTTTCTCCTCTCCGGTCTTATCGTCAATGTCATCCAGGTTGGCACCGTTCTGCTTGCTTTCTTAGTGTGTTCGAGTGATACATGTTATTTTGATTGTATACTCATTCTGACGAATGTGGGCTTTGCGCCTTTCCATAATCTCCGGTAAAGAACATTGTAGATTATATATAGTGCACAATTTGATGTTAAGTTGGTCTCCTTTTCAGGCAGCTTGTTATGTTACCATTAGGCCATTCTCCAAGAGCATGTACCGGATGGTCAACATAAAAGTTGTGGAGTTACTATGGTACCAAATTGTTTGGCTCTTCGATTGGTGGGCTGGAATGCATGTATGCCTAGTTTCATCTATATTTAACTTTCATTGTCTAGATGCCGATCTTTTAGAACGCTGCCAGGTTTTGTGTTTGTCTCCATGAGCCACTTTATGATAATCAGTGTTTATCCTTGAGCTTCAATTTGGCTGGTTTTTTCATTCTCTATGAATAAGAAGAGACGATTCTCTTTTTAAATTAATTATATTAGTGTGTTGGAATTACAAGTCAGATATCCTAAGTATTCATTTCTTTTTATAGGATTGCAATGTGATCTCATTTTTTCAAGGATTTTTTATATTATTTTTCATGTCTTCTTGGCCGAAGGTTGGGATTCATACAGCTGATAAGTTTTTAGAAAGTAGAAAGTAGAAGAGTAAAAATCAAAATAGCACTGTTTTATGTTGTATTATTGGACGCAGTGGTTCTTGAGCTTTTATCAATGACCATCTTTGGACCCTTTTTTTTTTTTCAAATTGCCACGGATGCTAGTGCAATTCATATCAATGATTATATATCTTTCTCCTCGCTATCTCTTTGCAATGCCATACTGGATAATGGTGGCCAAAGTAGGCTTGTACTAAGGCAATATCATAGTATGATCTTCTCTAGAAATAAGGTTGTGACTTGAAGACGCTTGGAAGAAAACAAAATGAATAGTAATGCACTGATGGTCCATGGGTAGAAACTCTAAAAGATTGTACTTGTATATGGGTATGGCTTGCATTTTTTTAAATTTTCATTTTAAGTAGTATTGGTAGGCCATGAAATTATTTATTAATGTTTATTCATGTTCTTTATTAATTAATATTAAGTAATACTATTTAGTTTTGTTAGAGGAAACAACATAAAATTTTTATTTAATCTTAAAAGAGATATGAATAGTGACCTCTCAACTATGGTGATCTAGGTAGCAAGGAAAACACAAAAATAATTTGGCAAAATAAGGAAACTATATGAGGGAAGTATCATCTCACTGAAATGCATTTAAATTCCCAACAAAGAATTTTTCTTGTGAATTTGTGTGCCATTTGAGATTATATCAATTTGAATATGCTTGAATTTCAATTGTATGCCATTCACATGCATTAGTTTTAATTAAATTGCTCTATGATTGGTTTGAGAGTTGTTGGAGTGTATTTATCCTAAAGGAGGGGATGAATAAGCTTTTTCATCTTCATTAGTTTGTGTTGTGTTATAGAGAACTAGTAGTGGAAATTAAACTAAGTGGAGAGAGATTGTGAACATGAGTTCTTTTAGAATAATTCAATTACACCTAAATTTACTATTCTTGAGAGCAACCTTACTCGGGTTTCACTAATCTTAGTAATAAAATATTACATTCACTGACTTTACTTGCTCTAGCCTACTAAATAACTCTGAAAATGCTATTACATAGATTTCTAGCCCTATTAGGTTAACCCATACCTTGACTACTATGTTGAACACAAATTCCATGTACCTAATTCTTAAAGCCATAAGTGTAGCCTCCTTAGAAGTAATTGAAGAAGATACAAGTGATAATTTGTATGAAGTAAGGAAACAACTTAAGGTTCATCATCCAATAATAATGATGAATATGCTTTCTTATGACCTGCCTAGGTACTAGTCATCTCTTTGATGACTATGATCTCACTATGGTGGTGGAAAATTTTACATAGTAAAACTCAAATCGATATTTTTAGTCATCATTGACTTCGTGTGAAAGTTGTATGAGGTTTGCCCAAAGTCTTTTTACTTTTTGTGTTGTAAGATCCTATTGGGTGTCCTATGGCCATAAAGAGGGAAATGGACTGCATAAAATTGTCAAAGAATTGAAATATTTTCTGGACATCAATAATGTGGATTAATTTTGAAAATATCTGAATCTTTTTAATTTTATTGAAATTTTGTGAAAATCCTTTGTAGTAATCTTTTAGTTGTTTTGAAAATTATTGTTATTTTTCTTGTTACGAAACATAGATGAGGCTTTTTCATTGTACTGATAAGATCAAGGATGCCCTTTAGACCATGGGGAAAGTTTCTATTTGGGATAAAATATATTCCTAACTATCATCTTTTTCAAGTGTCTTTGGTCCTTTTTTTTTTAAAGCACCATTATTTTGCATGGGATGGTTTTTAGTTTGTACCTTTGAGCTAGTGTGTGTGTTTCTCCCTATTTTTTTTATGTGTTAGCTTTTGTAGTCTTATTTTTTAGTGTGATCAGGTGTTGTAAAGTGCTTCTTTAAAGATTAAAGTTTTTTGAGTTTAGTCATGAAGCTTATTATGTTTTCTCTAATATTTTTGTTGTAGGTGGAACTTTTTGCTGATTTTGAAACTTTGCAATCAATGGGTGGGTGCATAACATCTCCATAGATGATTGTACTTGATCTAGATATGCAAATGATAGTATTTCTTTGAGTATATTGTATGGTACCTTTGTAATATGCGATTGTTTTAGGCAAGGAACATGCACTTATCATGTCAAATCACCGAAGTGACATTGATTGGCTTGTTGGATGGGTTTTTGCTCAGGTGGGCTGTTATTATTATTGAATTAAATGTTTAATTCAGTATATTTTAACACATCCATATGTTACATCTCTTGATTTATTTGAATGATAGCATTTGGTGGGAACTACCAACTTCAATTGATTCTCCTTTTTTGATACTTTTTTTTTCATTCTCAGCGTTCAGGTTGTCTTGGGAGCTCATTAGCTATCATGAAGAACTCATCAAAATTTCTTCCAGTAATTTTTTATTCTTCACATCTCTTGCCTTTATTTCACATTGTTTGTTATTTCTTACTTTTGTGTGACCAGATTAGTTGTATAATTGATTTTTTCAAATTTAAAATTATGCGTACAAATAAATAAATAAATCTATTATATAACCATTGTTAGTAGAACTATAATTAAGATCATATTAAGATGAATGAAGAATTTTTGTTGTTGCTGCTATTTTTATCGATTCAATTAAGTTGGAGTTCCATTTTACTTGTTTAATGTTTTGTGGCCATTTATATCCCTTTTGACAGAGGTAAGCATTATTGGCAATCCAACTATTATTTTTAAAAAAATATGGAGTATAGTTTAATGTGTAAATGGTATAAAGTAAGAAGCATCTTGAGCACACATCTTCAATTTGGAGATGCGACTATAATTTTAAGATTTATAGGAGATTCTAAACACTTAAAGCATAGAGCCATTGAAATTTCAAAAATTAAAATTTGATGCAATAGAAATTGTGAAATAGACTACAAAAGATAAAGAACTTAACAACTTACTATCTATGAGTCATTTAAGAAGACTTTGTTTTTGTTTCCTTTAGAGACAAGATGAAAAGAGTGACTCATTCTAAGCTGGACATGTGATGAACCAATGGCAGCAAGAATTCTTTGAATAATTTTGCAAACATATGTTGATCATCGATTTGAATTTCTTTTGTGGCATCAGGATATTGAAGATGAGTGACAATAGTTCTATCATATTTCAAGAGGTAAAATAGTATGTGATTGAGTATATTATGTTGAGTTTATATGATCTCTATCTTTTGCAATTTAGTGAAGAAAAGACTAACCAATAAGGAACATTCCAATAAGACTAACTTAATGACTATAATATGGTCAACATGATACATAATAGAATAAAAAAAATAAAATGGATACAAAGAGTAAATATTTATTTTTCGTCTATCTTATGAGTCAAATGTTTGTTGATAATTGACCTTTGTGAAGAAGTTATCAAATCCATCAAAATTATAATGACATGACAATAAAGTAGTTCACCATTTTGGAACAAGTGGTTGAGTATAAACCTAGATATTATAAAGATAGATGTTGAGCATTAGCTCTAGTAGAAATCTCTTGGGCTAGAACAATATAACCTTTCGACAAGGCAATGAACATGATTGTGAGTTAGGGGTAGCTTATTTTGTTGAAAATTTACCAAATGCTAGACTAGTGTCTCGATGTAGAGTGATATTCATAAGAAATTGAGACAATGTTCTTTTCTAGGGATTTTTCTATTGGATAGTATTTTACTATTATCTTTTATGTAGTATATATCCTATTTTTATGGGTGATATTAGTAAGAATAGAGTATTTTGATGTGTTTATTTGCCTTCCAATTTTAGATTGTAATTTTTTATTATTCATTATCATGACGGAAGACTTTGTTGTTTCTTTTTATATTTTAAATGAGATTTCTCTCGAGGATCATGAAAAGGGAAAGTGTTGAAAGTTAGAAACTTTTTTAATTGATGTTCCTCTCATTTAGATGATTTCATGTGTTATGTCACTCTATTTCTAGCTGTCTTTGTGAGGATTATTCTTCACCTTCAAAGGATGTAGAGTGATATTATAGTCTAATATTTTTATTGTCGAGTCTCATGATAAATTTTATAGTACATACTGCTTATTAGTAAAGTATTGTCTTTTATGTGAAAGGGGTTAAATATATTTTTCGTATGCAGGTTGTTGGCTGGTCAATGTGGTTCACTGAATTTCTCTTTATTGAGAGAAGTTGGGACAAAGATGAAAAAAAGTTAAAGGTATGACTTACAAATATATCATTGTAAAAACATATTGTCATATCCCAATGTCACCCCTATTTTTCTCCTCATGCAGTTAGGTCTACAACAATTAAAAGACTTCCCCCAACCATTTTGGTTGGCTCTTTTTGCAGAGGGGACAAGATTTACCCATACAAAACTTTTAGCAGCTCAAAAGTATGCTGCTTTACAAGGATTGCCAATTCCAAGGAATGTTTTGATTCCTCGTACAAAGGTGAATTTGATTATGTGATACCATACAATTCTCATTGTGTGTGTTTAGTTTTTCTCTCCTTTTATCTATGGCTAGGGAATTGATTGAAAATGAGATGCCTCTCAATTGATGTATTTCTTCTTCTTTTCTTTGAATTTTTTTTATGGAAATTTAAACTTCTCTATCTTGATTGAATTCATAGTGTAATACAATAATATACATTATTATATTCAGTCTAGTACACATTGACTCTCAACTATACAAAATATTTTACTAACTATAAAATGAGGACTTTAAACGTGATAAGAATACTTTTTTTGTGTGTCTAGCTTATTATGTTTATTATTTTGAACTTAATAATCTACAACTATAAATGAGGAGAATAATAATTACCTCTTTTATTTCTAGCTTTTCCTTTGGTTTTGTTTTCTTAATACTATGATTTTTTCAGGGTTTTGTTTCAACTATAAACAACATAAGGTCATTTGTTCCTGCTATATATGATGTAATAGTGGCCATTCCTAAAACTTCATCATCACCTACAATGCTAAGAATTTTGAAGGGAGAATCTTCAGTGGTAAGATTATCAACTTTGAATAATATATTCTAATAGCTTAAGACCCTAATTTCATTTGATTCACTTTTATGCATTAGTTTCCACTTCAATTACATATGCTTTTGTCTAAAAGATTGATTGAACTTTGTTAAAGTATAATTTTGCATCTACCATTTATAATTTCACTTGATATGTGAGTTTGTTATCTATTGACTAGATCTTAAAATTATTATTTTCAGTTTCCATAGAAAAGATGCTCAAAGCCAAATCAAGAGTAGAGAATTTGTGAATGACATTTCATAGAAATTTATTTCTAAATATACAGCTACATGGAAGAGAAGAGAAATAGTATATTTCAATGAATAGTAGTTGTTATCTCATAATTAAAGGAAAGAAAAATAAGGTAAAACTTGGGAGGAATGATGGTTCTCGATTGATTTTGTTATTAGTGAGTTGTTTTATAGCTTCCAAAATATAAGAAATGATGAGTCCATTAAATGTATGGACATCAGTTCCTTGAACTTCGATGTCTAATAATATATTTGATATGAACATTGTGAGAGTATTCATATAGTTCACATATGTCAAAGGAATATATATTTTTATTCCCCCCAAGGACTGCAACACATACATCTATTTAGTTCTTCATTAAGTGATAGCATATCTTAATTAATTATGGAGAAAAGGTTGAAAGTAGTTAATTTTAGTTTAAAGATATATATGTTAGATTGTCTACTTAACCACAAGTGTTAGCAAGTTGTTAGGAGTTGAAATGACGGTATAAATGAAAAGGTAGATATATAGTATTGGATGGCTCAAATATCAATGAGGGATGGGTAAACTATTTTGTTAATTGACATGAATCTAATAAATTTATATAATGAGTAATTATAGCTAGGTAGTAAGTACCATCAAGATTGTTAAGGAGTTTTATAATAGAAATTCAAGGGAGCATCATCCCTCTTTGGGCAAAGGGTCCTACTTATTGATTAAAGAGTTTGAGTCAGTTGGTACCAAGCTAGAGGTTGTTCAAGTTTGGTTGTTGAAGTGTATAAATAGTATAAGTCTATAAGGTGATAGATTGTTGACATAAGGTAAAGAAGATGCACATTAGAGCAAAGTATTGGCATAAACCAATTCTTGTGGAGCAGACATGTGAATAAATCATTTTGACAACTATCTAGTTGGATGGGCCAAACAAATTTTACTAGACAAACTTGCTTTATCAGATCTTTGAAAGTTTATTGGAGGAAGATGAATATCTTATTTGTGGTACATCTTGATCCTGCTCTAATCCTAGAGAGTTTAGGATTTATTATTTGATTTTTTAGATATGGGAAGCAAATGAATAACCTTGTATATCACTGATTTGTCATTATTTGTACTAGCTGATTAGTGAATGTATCCTTATCAACATGAGAGCTGGCTACTTTGGACTTTAAAAGTCCTTGTTTGGTGGATTTTGGCTGTGTACCTTAATCAACCATAAATCAATTGACATGAGTCAAAAAAAAAAAATGATAGATTGAACTCAATTTTAAGCCACAACTTGTTTTGAAGAATTGACTTGGTTTTAACTATTAAAGTTAAGACTCAATTTTCAACTTATCTAAGATGTGGTCTATTTATGAAACCTTTGATTTAGTTAGCACAACATTGATTAAGATGATTAGTTACAATATAATGTTCTTTCACTAGGTAGTTTGGGGATGTCTAAACTTTTTTTTTCTTTGTTTACTAGTGAAATGCATGTTGTATTTATTGAGTAGCAACAAGTCATCATGTTGTATTTGTTTACTAGTGAAATGCATGTGTAGCTGACTCCCAACACTTTTATCTACCACCTAGAACTCTTTCTTCTTTCTTATCCTTTGCCTCTACTAACTTAACTTGACACAATTGTTGCCTTTTCCAAACCTCACTTTTGGATTTTCTCCTTCTTCAATAGAAGATCTATAATCGGTTTTGATGTTTGATATTCAAAGATGAAGGAGAGAGTTAATTTTAATTCAAGTCATTCTCATTATTTCCACATTGTTAAATTTTTATTTGAAAGTTTTAATGGCATTGACTCTCGGTTTTAAATAAAATAGAATATTCTCCAAAGCAAAACTTGGTTTAATACTTTATTCTTATTTTAGAAAAATAGTGAATGAGATTGATAATCAAACTTTGGTGTAAACAAAGTTCAAGATTTATGAAAAGAAAGTATTCTCCAAAACCTTTATAATATGTGTTTTTCGTATGTTCATTCCTTAAAAAAATATGTAGAAAATATTGTTTGAATCGATTTTCTTCAGAATGATCCTGAAGACCCTGATATGTAGATCTAATACTGATCTAAATGTAACAAAGAAACTCAAATAAACTTTAAAAAACTCTAGAAAATTATGTGATCATGTTATTGGTCTAGTTTTGTCTTTGATTATGTGATCAACAAGAGGCCATTACGTTTGTCTATCATATAACATCATATTTTCAATATAACGGTAGAAAATAATCTGCTCACCCACAATTTGAAGAATCTATTGTGTTTGTTCCCATCTTATGATGAAACCAAATGATAGACGTTTGACCAACTCTCTTAGAATGATGTAGAAAATTTGTGAAATATCTAATTTTTAAGGTTTTAATTTAATATATAGATTTTTTTTTTGTCCTCACTACAGTGTTACATTTATGTAACAATAATTACATTTTAGTCAGCTTTGCCTAGGTTGGTACCTTCAAACATTTATCCAAACAAAAATATTTGAAGAAAAAAAATATTTTTTTGTTAGATTTATGGTCATTAGAGCTGAATATTCAATGCATATTTGAATTTGAAACTTTGATCAATGAGACAAAAAATGCTAGATTTCATTGCAATTGAAGAATTCACTAAGTATGGCACCTGTACATAAAACTTGCGAAGTATGACACTTGTAAAAGAATTCATCACAATTGAAGATGTGAGATTTCATCTGTTGTAGTGGTGTACATATCATGGAGGTTATGTAATGAGTTAAGCTGTGGAAAAATAAAGATATTGGGGAGATGCCACATTTTATCCCTGGATGTCCTATCCTTATTTTATTAAAATTATTGATGCCACCAGGTTTTTCCTCGATAGATATTTGAGAATGCCCTCTATTTTCAGACTTGAAAATCTTTCTTCCTCTTGAGTTTCTCATGGGTCTAGGAAATATGATATGTTTTCTTGTCAGGTATTTTAGTATTGATAACAAGGCCCTTCTTAGAACTATTGAAGGCAGGACGCTAGAAAGTGGCTTAAAAGTGTGGAGTTTGACCACATGTTTACCATCTTTCACTTTTGTATATTAGTGAATTGAAGACTGAATATATGGTTCATGAAATACGTATTTTGTAGGATACCATGTGGATATTTTATATGTAGCACCTCACAAAAATGCTAGCACAAAAAACTTGAAATGAATAAATGCTCATGAGATCCTCATGAGCATTCCATTTATAGACCTATCTTCTATCTATGTATCCATTCATCCATCCATCCATCCATCTACACATCATTTGCTCATCTCTATATGCTTATATCATCTGTGTTTTGGTGATTTTGATGGCACCCACACTCTCCTAGGTACATGTCCACATCAAGCGGCACTCCATGGAAGAGCTACCCCAAACCGACGAAGGCTTGGCGCTGTGGTGCAAAGACCTATTTGTGGCAAAGGCATGATTTCATACACTTACTTGGTGGTTCAAAAGTGCCCACTTAAATGTGGCCTTCAGCCTTTTCTACTCTCATGATCTGCGGCTTCAACTCTGCTGCTTGTTCCGACAGGATGCTTTGCTGGACGGGTACCTTGCTGAGGGAACTTTTGGCACCAAGGCGCCTATTCCGATTGGCCGGCCAATAATATCATTACTGGTATGTTGGTCAATAATATAACCATGCAAATATCTTCCATCATCTACATGTCATATGTCTTTATTATGCATCTCTTTCTCTCTCTATCAAACCCCTCTAATCTGAATTCCTTCTAAACTTGGAAATAATTTTCCTCCTTCCCTCCTCATCTTACATTGATATATAAAGATTATGATCAGCCCCTCACGCTTTATAAACCAGCAATGTATTCTTTTAGTAATAAGGTAGGGATTTGATTACCTACTGGAAAATTTGAGAAATAACACAGATGACTTTATGGAAATCTCTTCCATCATCTACATGTCATATGTCTTTATTCTATATCTCTTTCTCTCTCTATCAAACCCCTGTGATCTGAATTCCTTCTAAACATATAAATATTTTCCTCCCTCCCTCCGCATCTTACATTGATATATGAAGATTATCTAGGTTAAACTTTACAAACCAGCAATGTATTCTTTCAGTTATAAGGCAGAGGATGGATTACCCAGTGGAAAAATTTCAGAGATATCAATCTATTTATTTTGCTTCTCGTCCTCCCCCTTCCCCTCGCCCAGCTCCTCCGGTCTGAATCCCCTCTGTCCTCTGTCTCAGGTCGTCATGTCCTGGTCATGCCTTTTGACATCCGCTGCCTTCAGATTTTTCGAGTGGTCAACTCTCCTCTCAACTTGGAATGGGATCTTGTGCTCATCTTTCTGCGTGCTTCTGGTCGCTGTTATCATGCACATATTTGTACTCTTCTCCCAGTCTGATCGCTCCACGGCTGCCACGGTAGCCTCCACCAGGGTGAAGGATGACTGAGCTCCAAAAATAAGGCATGCAGTGTATATATATATATACTATAAGGGGAAAAAAATTAATCACCTAGATAATTCTCTATTTTTTTAAAATTTTATTTTTTTTATGTCGTTATGAGCCCTTAAAAAGCTTGAGCTTTGTCTTCGCCTTGTTGAATAAATATCATGGGAATATCAAGGTAACTGATTTCCCGTTGTAAGAATGAGAAGATTCTCCATCACCCAAGTGTAGTAGGCATGAGGCCAGCACATCCATATGAAAGTCTCTCTCTCTCTCTCTCTCTCTCTCTCTCCTCTCTCTCTCCCTATGAATTCCCTCGCTCTCATCACATGAGACGTCATTAGACAAGAAGGTAGTGACAGAATTTGGTCATAGTAACTTGAATCCCTACATGGAATCAATATGGGCGTTAACTTTTTTAATTCAAGCTCAACAATTTCCATACCAAACTTCTTCTTTCTCCTCTTTTTTTTTTTGGGTAATAAATAAGCGCATGTGGATTCATCTTCTAAAGATATTTGGTCAAGAAGACAAATTTATGTATTCAAGGTGACTTTTCTTTCGTTGACCATTTCATATCAAACTTCTTCTTTCTCAACATATTTTTTGGTGGGGGTAATAATTATCTTCTGAGTTATTTTCTCATCAAGACAATGTAATATACGTTGACTTTTATCTATGACAGTTGACTTTCCCCTAGGCGACCATTTTCATACCAAACTTATCCTTTCTCAACATATTTTTTGGTGGAGTAATAATTATCTTCTTAGTTATTTGCTCATCAAGGCAATGTAATCCATGAGAGTTGACTTTTATCTGGGTCAACCCACCATCACATCCTCTCTTGACAAATCTTAAGCCGATATGAGAACCTTTTGCCCTATCCATCACCCTTTCTCAATGGGCACCCTTGCCACGTGTGCAGTATTCTAGTTATTTCTATTTTCATAATGGGGGCTTATGAAATATCTGATATTATTTTTGCTCGTCATTGGTCAATATAATCATTGCGAGGACAACTATGCACTAGTTCTAAGATAAAAGTAAAACTTTGCTAAACAGCCGAGTTTACATGCTGTTTCAGAATTTTATACTTTGACCCCTCTGTTTTCCGTCATACTCTTTTAATTCTCCACCTCGTGAGCAGCATCTCTCTCTCTCTCTCTCTCTCTCTCTCTCTCTCTGTCTATCTGACACGCACTCCTTGTTTTCTTCCTGTTTCTCCTCTTTCTCTCGCCGGCTCTCTTCCTGCTCCGTGCTCATCCTCCCTGGGGGCGACTCGAGGGCGGGGACCTTCTTTTCTTCCTCCGTCTCGCCGTTTTTCTGCGGGGAGATGAACTGGGGATTTCTGATCTGATGCTCCCGCCTTCTCCGGATTTCCATCTTGCGGCGCCCAATTTGATCGAGAATTATAATTTCCCGGTCGTCTTGTTCTTCCCACGCAAGTTTCCGTGATTTCTTCCCTCCGGTTCTTTGGCTCGATTTGGCGATGTGATTATCTCTTGCCGGAGGGGAGATCTCTGATTCCTCCGTTTCTGACCGTACCGTGGATAATTTCTTCCGGCTTCGTCTCAATCCGTCCCCAAATCCGGAATATGGCGCGAGAAACCTGTAATCTCGACAAGGAGGAGGCCGAGATCCTGAAACCCTCATCCCCTCCCCCTACTTCTCCCCCTCCTCCGCCGCCCGCTGCTGCTCCCCCGCCGTCGCTCTTCCTCAAGCCCTGCCTTCCCGCGCCGGCCAGGAGGGAGGCCTCGGCGGCGGATCCTGGCGGCGCCGCCACTTCAAACCCCTCGAAGCCCTCGCAGGAAGACCAGGAAGCTCCGTCCTCGACTCGGAGGTGCTCGTGCTGCCGGCGGAGGGTGGGGCTGACGGGATTCCGGTGCCGGTGCGGCGATCTCTTCTGTTCCCGCCACCGCTACTCCGACGTCCACGACTGCTCCTTCGACTACAAGGCCGCCGGCCGGGAAGAGATCTCCAAGGCCAATCCCCTGATCAGAGCCGCGAAGATAATCAAAATCTGACGCTCCCTCTCCTGATCTGCTGCGTCTGCTGTTCTTTAGCTTCTTCTTAGATTCTTCCGTGGGCTTTCTTCTCTCTTTCCTTGTAATCCGGCTGCGAAATGAATTCTCTCTTTCCGTCGTCTGTTCCCGTTCCCTCATCGACGTATCTCATCTCGTTGCTTCTTCACCTGTAATGAAGATCCCCAGGGCATGAGATCAGGTGTAGGATTGGATGAGATTTGTTGTTCATTCTGGGAAGAAATTAAGAGAAGCAGCCAATTTAATTTATGTCCGTGTTCTTCGAGGTTAAAAGATCCTCACCCATTTGTCTCCTGATTGCTATAAAACGAAGAAGAAAGTCTCCGATGATTGTTTTTTCTCCTTTCCTTATTTCTTTCCTTGTTTGATCTCATTCGTGGTATCCTCCGCAGAAATTTCCGTTCTTGCTCCTCTGGGGATGCTCTCAAAAAATGAAGAAATTGCTGTTTTTGGGGGGGTCTTTCTTGGCGAGAGGGATTTCCGAGAAGTAAATGGACGGTCCAGAATGTCTTCGTTCTTGGGTGATGCAATGACAGTGCTCTAATTCAGATGGGTCTCTTTGAATTCCCATTCTCGGGGATTTTTCTTCGCCGTCTCATCACCCCCATGGAATGAAGGGTCTCTCTCTCTCTCTCTCTCTCTCTATCTCTCTAGATGCTGCATGAGCTAATCAGTCGCTTTGAATTTCCATTCAGAACAGAGTTTTTTAGGCATCCTCGTCACGTTGGAATGGTGAGTACAATTCCACGAGCTGCCCCCAATCTCCGTTCTCTCTATCTCTCTCTCTCGCGAAATGAGTTTAGAATCAGAATATATGAGCACTGAAACCAATTCTTTCTGAATTTGGCGAAGGGGGCGGGAGGGGAGATGTGACGTCCGCAAGTGGGTGCGGCGTGCCTTTATGGCAAAGAGGATAGAGAGAGATTAGAGATAGGGAGGGAGAGGCATCCAGGGAATGGTTGTGCAGGTTGTGGGTGCGCCAAATGATGCACCCTCTTTGAAACAGTCTCGATTGGAGGCTGTGGAGCTGGCAGATGTCCCTGTCACTAGGGGCCGGGGGGAGGGGACCTCTCTCCCTCCATCCCGTTCTCTCTCTCTCTCCCTCCCTCTCTCTCTCCCTCCAATGACCTTTTATGTTGACAAGATGGTGTCATTTTTAAGACACGGGAATTTCTTATTACCCGACGGATGGATAAGCGTTAAGCGAAAGCCCACGAAGCCCTTTCATATTCTCTCGATCTCTCCAGATATGTGCTGCCGACTGTTGGCCGGTCGACAAGGATTTTTATAAGACAATTTCCTCAGATTGACCAATTCAGCCTCTCATGTTGACCACTCTTCCAGCTACCTAAAAAAGGAAAAATTCTCCCCAACCTCTCACCCATATTCGAAACCTTGGACTTTTTTTTCTTTTTATAGTGAGAGTAATTAATTTTTGACAAAAAAGGAGATTTCTGACCTTCATATCTTACAACTAGTTTAAATTTTCTTGCTAATTATAGAGCATTTTGGAATTGCAATTGTGCTTCTAAGGGAATACACATAATCATATTATCTATTGAATTAAGTTTTCTAATTAAGTTTATTGTAATTTATGAAATTAGACATTCTAATATGAAAGATTGTGATTAATCTCTATCTAGATTGTATATAGAGGTTTAGAAAAATGAAAAATAATATTATTTAGATCACTGCATATAAAATTATAATAGGTCATATAATTGAGTTATTTATCATAGCTTTTATTATTGACTATGGTTTAGTAGCACATCGATATGTGTTACTAAAACATAGTTTGTATCCTTTACTCAAGAGCTTTGACCTTGTATTTTTTATTTCAAGAATTCTCACTACTTGGGCTTCTAGTAATCTTTATATGAAAGGAAGGTTATACTTAAGAACTAAAGAAACCAGAGACTAGATAGATATCAACAGTATCATACGCTCTAGTTGTTGTGTATCTAGTAACCATATAGCTTTCGAGAAGTCAATCCTCCATTATCATATTGCTACCACTCTATTAGTTATTAATCCCATAGTTCCTATCAACTTATCATGGCATGATAGCTGCTTGATTAACTTTTTAACTTTAGCTTGAACCTAGCTCTTCCACCAGCCTTATAGCTCAAGAACACTAGACAACTATATGTGCTATCAAACTTGAGTTTAACTAAATTACAAAGTTCAGCTTGTCCCTACAACTAATTGATTAGTTCAAAGATGTGTGGATATGGAATTTAAAGCATACAACAGATACATAATTTACTCATTATAGAGTGATGTCTAGTAGTTGTTTATGATGGCTAATATTTGTTGAAAGTTGTACTCTAAGCAATCAAGTCAGGACTTGAAATAAGTCTAATTTTTTTTCCAGTAAATATTATAAAATATGAATCAATAATAATTCTTTAAAATTGCATATAATTTTTTGTCATCTTCATCTTTCAAATATCTTTCTAATAAATGTATGCATAGCTAGATATGTTAAAAGAATTACGGTATAAACATTATTCAAATGATTATAGGTCAATTTTTCATTGACTTTTGAGAGCACAAAACCATTACCTAATTCAATTCTCAAATCTTAGTTTACTGAAGTTGTAAATAATCAAGTTATCATCAGAACATCAGAATAATGATAGGTGTTCAATTTCATGCTTAACTTGTAGTGGGCTAGTCAATGTGGTTTACATTGTGGAATCATGTGCATGGTGAATTAGACAAATTGAAGCTTGGTAGTTCTGTCTAGTAATCAAATTTAGTGAATTTATCTAGTGATAAAGTGCTCAAAATTAGCTATTTAGTTCAGAACCAAGACTCCAACTAGAGCACATTGAAAAATAAATTTACAAGTTTCAAGTTTAGTAATGAATTATTTTAATCTACAGACAATTAAAATTTCTAAAGGTTAATGATTGTAACATTTAATATCAAACTAATAAATAATTCAGAGATTGATGCTCAATTCTAGTGGATTAAAGATGTAATCATTGTCATCAGAAAAATTAAGATTATATAATGTTTGACAAGTAACTACTTTCATAGAGTTGATTTTTATTACTAGGTCTCCTAAGGATGGTGTTGTGTCAACCCAGATTTTGCTATTTTCAACTAAAAACTAAATAAATCTAATCTAATAATACGTAGAATTCATTTCCACAAAATAACAAAAAATAATCTCAAATTTCTTCGAGTGTAGTTGAATCTAATTCTCCATATTCGTAGCATATAATGTACATCTATTTTACCCTAAGATAAAATAAAAAATATCCGTAATATCTAAGATAATCTTAGTTTAATTATCGATATTCTTAACCTTGAATGTAAATATCTATGTAAGTTTGATATTAATTTTAAAAACTTTTATAATAGTTTTGTGTGTTCTAAATTATTAACCCTAGTAAGGTCAATTTGAGACATGAAATTGTATCATATTACTTCATAAACTATGATATAGATGTCATATGCTAAATTGACACCCTATTAGCTATAATGTTGTCTATATTCATGTGAAGATAAAAGAGCATTGGATAGTTTTAATTATTTTAACTCTGGTAAGTTTCACTTGATATTATGTTTTGAAGTAACATAGGGAAAAGTTATGATATCTTCCCCTCATACTATGAAATTCTTGTATTTTTGTCATCAATTTATGACAAACTCTATCATCCAAATTGCTATGTAATAATTACATCAACAAATAATTAATAAAAAAATTGTATCATTCTTAAAAATATTGATACATGTGCACTGAAATTTAATTTTAAGTTATGGCTAACAAAGAGACTTTTCTCTCAAAGTCAATCTTGTTTTAATTTTTAAAAAATAGACACAAGGGTAAAATTGATTATTCACACTAGAGTAATATTATATGATTTGAAAATGATCATACACATTTGTTCTAAATAGTAGAAGTCAAACAATTAAACTCATCTTCACATGTTTCAAGGAATAGAAATTAACTTTTGACACAAAGGTATTGATAATAAAGTGTTATAGAAAAGGATATAGATAAGACAAATTGACTATAATCTTATGAACTAATTGTTTGCCATGTGTGTTGAGCCATTGGCATGTTACTATTATTAATTGTTAAAAAAATTAAAATTTTAAATTTCAACCTCCTTATAAACATGATGATGTGATTTAGTTTTTGTTTATTAAACACAAATGAAATATTTTTAAAACTAGAAAATATTAATTTTTAAGTATTTTAAAGTATTTATATAAAATATATCAATTATAATTAAATAAAAGGTTCCAAAAGTGAGTAATTTTTAAGTTGATCATTGAAATGGAATATAATATCTAGTGGTATATTAATTTTTTACAAAGAATATATATATATATATAATGTTTAGATTAAATATTAAAAATAAAATTTATTTAAAATTCATGAAAAAGGAAAATAAGTGTGCGTACATCAAGATGATGAAAGTGGCTTGATGAATGTGAATATGACAAAAATGTTGATTCTTACATACATGATATAAATGATTTAATTAATTAAATTAATATTTATAAAAGTTAGAACAATTATATTTGAATGAAGAATGTTTTCAAAAAACTTGAAATCACACAAACTATACTAGATTAAGTAAAAATTAAGTTTAAAATAGAAAAGATAGAATTTTGGCCTTACGATAATGATCACCAAACTTCTGTGTGTTTAAAAAGATTATTGTGTAATGTCTATGGCTTCAATGACTCTCCTTAGATAAGGACGATGTGGGTAATCTTTAGATCTTCTTGTAAAATCTATAAATTAATAAGGTGAGTTGACAGATTATTTTCGAACTATCATCAGATGGAGCAGAAAAATAATGACTTTGCAAATATCTAGCAGCTGTCATCTGACGTAGATAAGCTAGATAGAGATGAAGTATGTCTTAAAGAACTTCATTTTCAAGTCCACATAATAAGATGAGGTTTTCCATTACATCTGATAAGCTTTTAGGAGGTGGTGACTCATCTCTTGGAGG